GGGAACCAATGAAGATAACAACGAATGGCCTTCAGATTCTTGTTGAGCACATCGAGGACATCCTATATTCAAGTTTTCAGCCCATTCTGACGCCTCGAATTACTTGAAAAATGTTCAAAGGGGTTAATACCTTCTTTCATTTTCAGACCCAAAAATGAACTTTGTCGTAGGGCCTTTAAACTTGGTATACAGGGTCCTCGATGGATGCCTTCATGCGGAGTAGAAGCATAGCGCTCTAGCTCTCCTTATAAGGAAGTTGCAATTTTTGACTCGCTTTCAATCATTGCGGTACCTTTGATACAAAATGACTCGATTTAGTACCTCGACTGACCGGAGATCAATATCATGAGAACGACTGGAGTTTTGGCAGAACTAAATTAATTCACGTATTTTGTCCACGAAGAAAATTCTTCGCCATCATTTCATAGCTCTTTTTCAGGCGATTTTTTTAAATTTTCGTACGCAAATATCTCGTGAACCAATGAAGATAACAACGAATGGCCTGCAGATTCTCGTTGAGCACATCGAGGACATCCTATATACAAGTTTTCAGCCCATTCTGACGCCTCGAATTATTTGAAAAATGTTCAAAGGGGTTAACCTTCTTTTATTTCCAGATCAAAAAATGAACTGTGTCGTAGGGCCTTCAAACTTGGTATACAGGGTCCTTGATGGATGCCTTCATGCGGAGTAGAAGCACAGCTCTCTAGTTCTCCTTATAAGGAAGTTGCAATTTTCGACTCGTTTTCAATCCTTGCGGTACCTTTGATATAATATGAAGCGATTTAGTACCTCGATTGACCGAAGATCAATGTCATGAGAACGACTGGAGTTTTGGCAAAACTAAATTAATTCACGTATTTTGTCCACGAAGAAAACTCTTCTCCATCATTTCATAGCTATTTTTCAGGCGATTTTTTCAAATTTTCGTACGCAAATATCTCGGGAACCAATGAAGCTAACAACGAATGGCCTTCAGATTCTTGTTGAGTACATCGAGGACATCCTATATACAAGATTTCAGCCCATTCTGACGCCTCGAATTACTTGAAAAATGTTCAAAGGGGTTAGTTAACCTTCTTTTATTTTCAGACCAAAAAATGAACTTTGTCGTAGGGCCTTTAAACTTGGTATACAGGGTCCTCAATGGATGGCTTCATGCTGAGTAGAAGCACAGCGCTCTAGCTTTCCTTATGAGGAAGTTGCAATTTTTGACCCGCTTTCATTCCATGCGGTACCTTTGATACAGAATGACTCGATTTAGTACCTCGATTGATCGGAGATCAATGTCATGAGAACGACTGGAGTTTTGGCAAAACTAAATTAATTCACGTATTTTGTCAACGAAGAAAACTCTTCTCCATCATTTCATAGCTTTTTTTCAGACGATTTTTTTAAATTTTCCTACGCAAATATCTCGGGAACCAATGAAGATAACAACGAATGGCCTTCACATTCTTGTTGAGCACATCGAGGACATCCTATATACAAGTTTTCAGCCCATTCTGACGCCTCGAATTACTTGAAAAATGTTCAAAGGGGTTAACCTTCTTTCATTTTCAGACCAAAAAATGAACTTTGTCATAGGGCCTTCAAACTTGGTATACAGGGTCCTCAATGGATGCCTCCATGCTGAGTAGAAGCACAGCGCTCTAGCTTTCCTTATAAGGAAGTTGCAATTTTTGACTCGCTTTCAATCCTTGCGGTACCTTCGATACAAAATGACTCGATTTAGTACCTCGATTGACCGAAGATCAATGTCATGAAAACGACTGGATTTTTGGCAAAACTGAATTGATTCACGTATTTTGTCAACGAAGAAAATTCTTCTCCATCATTTCATAGCTATTTTTCAGGCGATTTTTTTTTATGGCCTTGAGATTCTTGTTGAACACATCGAGGACATCCTATATACAAGTTTCAAGCCCATTCTGACGCCTCGAATTACTTGAAAAATGTTCAAACCCAAAAATGAACTTTGTCGTAGGGCCTTCAAACTTGGTATACAGGGTCCTCAATGGATGCCTTCATGCGGAGTAGAAGCACAGCTCTCTAGCTCTCCCTATAAGGAAGTTACAATTTTTGACCCGCTTTCATTCCTTGCGGTAAGTTTGATAAAAAATGGCTCGATTTAGTACCTCGATTGACCAGAGATCAATGTCATGAAAACGACTGGATTTTTGGCAAAACTGAATTGATTCACGTATTTTGTCAACAAAGGAAACTCTTCTCCATCATTTCATAGCTATTTTTCAGGCGATTTTTTTTTACTTTTCGAGCGCAAATATCTCGGGAATCAATGAAGATAACAACAAATGGCCTTGAGATTCTTGTTGAGCACATCGAGCCCATCGAGGACATCCTATATACAAGTTTTCAGCCCATTCTGACTCCTCGAATTACTTGAAAAATGTTCAAAGGGGTTAACCTTCTTTCATTTTCAGACCAGAAAATGAACTTTGTCGTAGGGTCTTCAAACTTGGTATACAGGGTCCTCAATGGATGCCCTACTGCGGAGTAGAAGCACAGCACAGCTTTCCTAATAAGGAATAAGTAGCAATTTTTGACCCGCCTTCTATCCTTGCGGTACCTTTGATATTAACTGGCTCGATCTAGTACCTCAATTTAGTGGAGATCGATAGTATGAGAATTACTGAATTTTTTGCGAAATTGAATTCATCCACGTATTTTGCCCACGAAAAAAAATTCTTGGTCATCATTACAGCGATTTTTCAGGCATTTTTTTTTTCAAATTTTAATGCGGATATCTCAAGAACCGGGTGAGAAAAATAGAAACAGACTTCAGATTCTTGTTGAGCACATCGAGGACATCCTGTATACAAGTTTTCAGCCCATGCGGAGTAGAAGCACAGCGCTCTAGCTTTCCTTATGAGGAAGTTGCAATTTTTGACCTGCTTTTTCATTCCTTGCGGTACCTTTGATACAAAATGACTCGATTTAGTACCTCGATTGACCGGAGATCAATGTCATGAGAACGACTGGAGTTTTGGCAAAACTAAATTAATCCACGTATTTTGTCTACGAAGAAAAATTCTTTTCTATCATTTCATAGCTCTTTTTCTGACGATTTTTTTTAATTTTCGTACGCAAATATCTCGGGAACCAATGAAGCTAACAACGAATGGCCTTCAGATTCTCGTTGAGCACATCGAGGACATCCTATATACAAGTTTTCAGCCCATTCTGACGCCTCGAATTGTTTGAAAAATGTTCAAAGGGGTTAACCTTGTTTCATTTTCAGACCACGAAATGAACTTTGTCGTAGGACCTTCAAACTTGGTATACAGGGTCCTCAATGGATGCCTTCATGCGGAGTAGAAGCACAGCGTTCTAGCTTTCCTTGTAAGGAAGTTGCAATTTTTGACTCGCTTTCAATCCTTGCGGTACCTTTGATATAATATGACTCGATTTAGTACCTCGATTGACCGGAGATCAATGTCATGAGAACGACTGGAGTTTTGGCAAAACTAAATTAATCCACGTATTTTGTCTACGAAGATAAATTCTTTTCTATCATTTCATAGCTCTTTTTCTGACGATTTTTTTTAATTTTCGTACGCAAATATCTCGGGAACCAATGAAGCTAACAACGAATGGCCTTCAGATTCTCGTTGAGCACATCGAGGACATCCTATATACAAGTTTTCAGCCCATTCTGACGCCTCGAATTGTTTGAAAAATGTTCAAAGGGGTTAACCTTTAATTTTCAGGCCAAAAAATGAACTTTGTCGTAGGGCCTTCAAACTTGGTATACAGGGTCCTCAATGGATGCCTTCATGCGGAGTAGAAGCACAGCGCTCTAGCTTTGCTTATAAGGAAGTTGCAATTTTTGACCCGCTTTCAATCCTTGCGGTACCTTTGATATATGACTCGATCTAGTACCTCGATTGACCATCAGAGATCAATGTCATGAGAACGACTGGAGTTTTGGCAAAACTAAATTAATTCACGTATTTTGTCCACGAAGAAAACTCTTCTCCATCATTTCATAGCTATTTTTCAGGCGATTTTTTTTTACTTTTCGAGCGCAAATATCTCGGGAACCAATGAAGCTAACAACGAATGGCCTTCAGATTCTTGTTGAGCACATCGAGGACATCCTATATACAAGTTTCCAGCCCATTCTGACGCCTCGAATTACTTGAAAAAATGTTCAAAGGGGTTAACCTTCTTTTATTTCTAGACCAAAAAATGAACTTTGTCGTAGGGCCTTCAAACTTGGTGTACAGGGTCCTTCCATCCCAACTAAATATACTCTGTTGTATATTTATGAAATATTCTTAACTGAATGTTCTGTGGGGTATATTCATGAAATATTCTCAACTGAATATTCTGTTGTGTATGTTCATGAAATATTCCATGAATATTCCTATGTTTCTCAACACATAAATTCCAATCATTATTTCAGAGATGTGAGTATCAAACATCAATTAGATGTAAGGGGATTTTGAAACAAAAAGTGTTTATGATCCGATTTCGAACGATGCTCTCACAAGAAATTGATATGTACAACATTATTCAATTCGATTACTGGCCTAGTGGTCAAGGCGTTGCTATGATAGTCTTTAGGTCACGAGTTCGATCCTTACTTGGGTCACTTTTTTCTATTTTAGAATATGTTTATTGGAATATTAAAGGAACATTCAACATAGAATATTTTTTTGGATATATTCTATGAATATCTGAGGAATTCCCATTCGCATATTTAGACAATATTCCACAGATATTCCGGAATATTCCAGATTATTCCTAGAATATTCCAATATTCCAAAAGGAATATGATAGGGAGATTCATGGAATATCTGGTGCTGTCTGGAAACATCCGGTATACAAGTTTTCAGCCCATTCTGACACCTTGAATAAGTCAATTTGATATAAACCCAAGGACCAATTTCCTTCCTTCATGTTGCTGAGAATAATCATACTTCTGAAACGTACTTAGTGGAAAGGATTGAAAGGAAAATAAAAATCGAGTAGTTAAATACGTATTTTGTATTTCACGATAAAAAATAACATTTCATTATACAGAAATTTTGCGGACAAAGGGTTGGAAACATTATTTACAGTCAACATTTTAACCAAGAAGCAGAGGATTGGACAATTAATCTATTGTAACAGTTCCAAAGGTCCGAATAAGCTAATCGAAAAAAGTTAGGGATGAATATTTCATCATTTATAGGCATTTCACTGTTATCATATTGGTGTCCCCAACTTTTTTCCATAAGTATAGATAATCACAGTTATGTAATTCCTTAAATGACTACCTTAGAACCTAAGAGGACCAAAAAAAATTTACTATTATACATATTATGCAATTATACAGGGTGGCCCACGGTCGGTGGTACCTTAGACGTATACGGAAAACGGTACATTGGATTATCCTGAAAATTTGGTTACTCTAATAAGCGTTTGTGATCTAACGATTCAAAATATTTTCAGCGAAGCAGCGTTGCCACATTTACCAAAAAGTAGCATCATCTTTGTTATTTCAAATGGAACACCCTGTATCTCATTGCGTTTTTAGATTCTTCTCGAAGAGCTGATTTCATCAATGCATCACACTTGGGGTCTAGCAGGAATTATTACAGAGATATAGGGTGTTCAAAATCGAGATTTTTCAATTTCAGGAATTTTTTGTGTCGAAACTATTCATTATCGATCAAAACGGCTTACATGTCCCTATCTTAACTTTTGATTCACTATCTACTGACATTTAATTGGAACAGATACAGGGTGATCAAAATTCTGAATCTTGGACCATCCTGTATTTTTTCCAATTAAATGTCAGTAGATAGTGAATCAAATGTTAAGATAGGGACATGTAAGCCGTTTTGACCAATGATGAATAGTTTCGACACAAAAAAATCCAAAAGTTGAAAAGTCTCGATTTTGAACACCCTATATCTCTGTAATAAATCCTGCTAGACCCCAAGTGTGATACGTTGATGGAATCAGCTCTTCGGGAAGAATCTAAAAACGCAATAAAATACAGGGTTTTCCATTTGAAATAACAAAGATGATGCCACTTTTTGGTAAAAGTGGCAACGCTGCTTCGCTGAAAATATTTTGAATCGTTAGATCACAAACGCTTATTAGAGTAACCAAATTTTCAGGATAATCCAATGTACCGTTTTCCGTATACGTCTAAGGTACCATCGACCGTGGGCCACCCTGTATGAAGACAATGATGAATTCAAATTTGAGATTATTTAGTCTTATTTATTTCGAAACAACAATGGAAAGTTTTACATTTCTAGTACATATGATCATGTTTTTTTATTAAAATTTTTGTGGTATCAAATTGCATAAAATTTCAATTTCATGAACAATTTTTGGAAATTTCAACAAAAATCAGCAAACTGCGTACGGTCACATAATTATTTCTGTGTGGATATTTTGATTAACCAATATGAAAAATCAGCAAACTGCGTACGGTCACACAATTATTTCTGTGTGGATATTTTGATTAACCAATATGAACTGCCTTGATTTTCATTTTTATAAAAAAATAATCAACAGGTGCATTTTTCACTTATACTTAAATTGAAATAAGTAAAACATACGAGGCACTACGAAATCAAATTTTTTCGACAAGCCATGTCAAAATAATCAGTCACTGAATAATATTGGAAATTAAATGAAATGCGCAGAATTGATTTTCCTCCAACACTCGCAAATAATCAAATATTTTCACTTGCTAATTATAAGTAATAAACATGTCCTCAGAAATATAGTCTTATTCAAATAAATTGTCAAATGATGTCTAATCGAATTTGATGGAATTGACAGACATGTCAATGGTGCCACCCCGATAGGAACCTCGCTTTTTCTTAGTTTTCTCGTGTCTGAATGATTTACCTCGGGTGTGCTTCAGGTCCAAGTTTGCCCTTTCACCCCATGATCCTCTAGCATTAAACTAAGAAACAAAAAAAAAGTATTTAAATGACTGAGATAAAATTGACGCTCCTTTCAACTATTATGCCTTATTCAAGATATTTAGATACACTATTTTTTATATATTTATTAAATTGCTATTAAAGAAGATTCCGAAGTTTAAAGATAGTGATTTATAGTTGGGTTGATTGTATGATAAACGCTTAATTTTTCGAACAAATAATGTTAATGCATAAAAAAACAAGAGAAGATTTTTCATATTTCCAACATTAAAATATATACATAATGATACCCTCCAAAAGAGTGGGTGAAATCACGTCAGAAAATCTATGCCTGCCTTCAACAAAAAAGCGACCAGCCATCTTCTTTCTATTTGGAAAAATCAAGTGGAAAAATTCGTGTATGTGACTTTTGAATCAATCTTGAAACGACTGTGAAGTCATAAGCTTGAAAGTCCTATTAAAAAATCGAAAGTTGTGGTCATTTCCAAACCAGAAGGGCCGCAAAGCAAGAGATTCACCCGGTATAATTGTGAAGTCTAAAATGATTCAAGTGGAAAGGCGACTAGCCTCAAGAATATGTTGAACAACACGTGATTTAGAAAACCAATAATATATGAAATGGGCAATATGTTCTTTAAAACTTGTGCCAATGCTTCTACGTGTATGCCCAATATATTTCATGTTACAGGTTGTAAATAGGATGAATTATTCAGTTTCGTGAAATATAAATGAATTAATTCATATTCCACAAAAAGGCGACCAGCCACCTTCTTTCTATTTGAAAAAATCAAGTGGAAAAAATCGTATTTGTCACATTTGAATCAATCCTAAAACGACTGTGATCTCAAAAGATTCAAAGTCCTATTAAAAAATCGAAAGTTGTGGTAATTTCCAAACCAGAAGGGCAGCAAAGCAAGTGAATATGTCAAAATTTTTAAATTGAACAAAAATACATAATCTCAAAATTTCGTTTTTCTAATCTAGAATAATGAAATTTATGGGGGTAAGTCACCTCAGAGTCACCCGGTATATTTGTGAAGTCTAAAATGATCTCAAGTGATAGGGTGACTAGTCTCAAGAATATGTTGAACAACATGTGATTTATCAAACCGATATATGAAGTGGGTAAAATGCTCTTTAAAACTTGTGCCAATGCTTCTACGTGTTTGCCCAATATATTTTATGTTACAGGCTGTTGCCAGAGTGGAATATTCATCTAGTAAATAGGATGAATTATTCAGTTTCGTGAAATATAAATAAATTAATTCATCTTCCACAAACAGACGACCAGCCATCCTCTTTCTATTTGAAAAAATCAAGTGAAAAAAATCGTATTTGTCACGTTTGGATCAATCTTAAAACGACTGTGGTGTCAAAAGATTCAAAGACCTATTAAAAATTCGAAAGTTGTGGTAATTTCCAAACCAGAAGGGCAGCAAAGCAGGTGAATATGTCAAAATTTTTAAATTGAACTAAAATACATAACCTCAAGATTTCGTTTTTCTAATCTAGAATAATAAAATTTATGGGGGTAAGTCACCTCAGAGTCACCCGGTATATTTGTGAAGTCTGAAACGATCTAAAGTGATAGGGTGACTAGTCTCAAGATTATGTTGAACATGTGATTTATCAAACCGATAATATATGAAGTGGGTAATATGCTCTTTAAAACTTGTGCCAATGCTTCTACGTGTTTGCCCAATTTATTTTATGTTACAGGCTGTTGCCAGAGTGGAATATTCATCTAGTAAATAGGATGAATTATTCAGTTTCGTGAAATATAAATAAATCAATGTATCTTCCACAAAAAGGCGACCAGTCACCTTCTTTCTATTTGGAAAAATCAAATGGAAAAATCGTATTTGTGACGTTTGAATGAATCTTAAAACGACTGTGAAGTCATAAGCTTCAAAGTCCTATTAAAAAATGGAAAGTTGTGGTCATGTGATTATGTCAAAATTTGTAAATTGAACTATAATGCATAATCCCCAAATTTCGTTTTCCTAATCTTCAATAAAAAAAATTATGGGGGTGAGTCATCTCAGAGATTCACCCGGTATATTTGTGAAGTCTAAAATGATCCAAAGTGATAGGGTGACTGGTATCAAGAATATGTTGAACAACACTTGATTCATCAAACCGATAATATATGAGGTGGGCAATGTGCTCTTTAAAACTTGTGCCAATGTTTCTACGTGTTTGCCCAATGTATTTCATGTTACAGGCTGTTGCTAGAGTGGAATATTCATCTAGTAATTCTACAAAAAGGCTACCAGCCACTTTCTTTCTATTTGAAAAAATCAAGTGGAAAAAATCGTATTTGTGACGTTTGAATAAATTTTTGAACAACTGTGATGTCAAAAGCTTCAAAGTCCTATTAAATAATCGAAAGTTTTGGTCTTTTCCAAACCAGAAGGCCGGCAAAGCAAGTGAATAATTATGTCAAAATTAGTGAATTGAACTATAATACATAATCCCCAAATTTCGTTTTTCAAATCTTCAATAATATAAAATTATGGGGGTGAGTCCCCTCAGAGATTCACCCGGTATATTTGTGAAGTCTAAAATGATCTAAAGTGATAGGGTGACTGGTCTCAAGAATATGTTGAACAACACTTGATTTGTCAAACAGATAATATACGAGGTGGGCAATGTGCTCTTTGAAACTTGTGCCAATGTTTCTACGTGTTTGTCCAATGTATTTCATGTTACAGGCTGTTGCTAGAGTGGAATATTCATCTAGTAAATTCGATAAATCATTTATTCTCGTGAAATATAAATAAATCAATTTGATGTTTTTTTATAAGACATAAAGTTGAAAGGTAGTTATGTCTTGCAAACTAGCAAATTTCACATTCTTCATAACAAAATATTGGAATTACCACGTTAATATTTTTACAAAATAAAGATGCAAGTAGCAGTTTTTTCAGGGACTCAAAAAATCGGGATTTTTAGTGCCAATAATTTGGTCATTTTCAACCTTTTATCAACAAAAGAAAACGGAATTCTTTTTTAACAAACCATCTGCTATATATAAATTGATTTTTTGTAAAAAAAAAATATAGACATTCCAACATATTATAGCTATCATTGTATCAATTCACTCAGTAATAAAAATCAAACATGAAAATTCAAAATGTGTATCCACCAACACTAAACTTACCGTACATATAAAACGTAACAGTTAAAACAACCTCCGACAGCCTAATCGTCGAAAGTGATCTTCTTGTTTTCCGCCGGCTTCGACTCGAAACTGTTGTCTCTGTTACCGAAACCGCCCCTATTGCCGCCAAACCCGCCCCTGTTGCCGCCCCTGTTACCGAAACCGCCCCTACTGCCGCCCCTATCGCCGAACGACTTCCTGAAGCCGCCGCCGTCGTTCCCGTCGAACGACCGCCTGAAGCCGCCCCTATCGCCCCCACCTCTACCGCCTCGGTCTCCGCCCCTACCGCCCCTGAACCCGCCTCCGCGGTTGCCCCCGAACGAGTTCCTGTCGCCGCCTCTACCACCTCTAAAACCACCCCCACGATCGCCGCCTCTACCGCCCCTGAAACCGCCCCCACGATCTCCGCCTCTACCGCCCCTGTTGCCGCCCCTACCGCCAAACGAGTTTCTGTCGTTCTGTTTTTCATTTTTTCGATTTTTTTTTGTCAAGAGCGATTCAGTTTCGGTAATAGAGACATTAAACGAATCGGGTGAGGAAGACGACACATGGAAAGAGAGAGAGAAAAAAATTGGGTTAGTATAGTGAAAAGGCGAACTATCTATGAAGGGTAACGTGCAAAACTCATCTCATTTTTATCTGCATAACTGCTGTTTGGGCCTTTTTTTCATTCTTTGTATATGGTTAACCATATCTTAACTCTATAAGCTAATCAAACTGATTTTTTAATTTTTCTATTCTTGATCTTCATACTGAGCATAGTGAAAGGAGAAGATGGTGTGCTCAACAGAAAGCTAAAACTCGTCTTGTTCTGCGCATGACGTCAGCTGGGATATAACTGTCATTGTTATTATTTGTTTTCGTGATTGATGTCTCGAACTCCAGATATTATATGAGTACTAAAATTGAATTGAATAATTTCGAAATGCCTACTTGTTTCGTTTCTGGTTATGGAAATCCCAACTGACATACAAAAGGCACAGATATTGAATTTGTCTGCTTTTCCAAGAATGGAGACCTAATGAAACGATGAGAGCTTGCTGCCGACAGAATATAAACTCAAATTATGGTACCTACCTTTTATTCCTTATATCCTCATTCCAAAGTATTCACCAATCATATTATCATCACATTCATATTACAGCACGTATTACTTCAAAACATTTCCATGCAAAATGTTCCCAAACAAGTGCGAAAGTATACGGTTCTTGAATTACACACCTCCAAAAAATCACAAATATTTGAGACAAGATGCCATTCCTACAGAACATCTTCCGTCGAATATGAAATCAGAAATAATTGAAAATGAATTCAATACTCTCAATTTCTCATAAAATATAAATTGCAGTAAAGATTTGAATAACAAAACGGCAAAAATTGATACTCGTGTTATCGATGTCGGAGCAGAAGCAACGTCTTCACTGCTGAATTTTAATCTGTCAGAATCGACACAGTAGTGGATCATTCAGATGGGATTGGCAATGCATGATAATTCGTATGTATTTGCTATTTGCGATTGCGAATTACCTCAAGATCACAAATTTCCAGAATCAATGAAATAGTAAAATTGATAGAATAGGTACCTGTTTATATAAATTAAAATATTTCTAAACAGATCGAGAAAAGAAAATTTCAATGAACATGATTGAATTCATTGCGCACGCCCATGGCAACGGTATCTCTCTGTGACTAGCAGCTGATCTTGGTATCCCAGATGACGTCACATAATATGCGCGTAGGCACACCATCTTCTCCTTCCACTATGATACTGAGGCATTCAATTCAATTATTTTCCGAGAATTTGCTTTGTTCTTGACAACATGAAATTTTCCTCATACAAGTAATAGATATGTAGGATTGTAAAAGACATAATAGTAGAAGAGCCGGCGGCAAATTGACGGTGATCTGATAAAAATGACCCAAAGGTGTTTAGGAATATATTTGAGCAAAATGATTGAAAAATGGCACTTTAATGTGTGGTTATTTGCGCCTAATTTCGCGATTGCATAACGAGATGAGGAATATATGCCATCTAGTACCAATTGAATAGTAGTTCTCAAAATCCTACTAGTGCCACCCCTAATTCTGAGTCGAATCCTCGGCACAGCGATTTATTTGCTGCCGTTATTATGGACGAATTTCCGTCACGTGATGATGAGTTGAAAGATAATGCAATAAAAAGAGCATGTGCCCTTCGCAAATGTCCAAACGCACCGCTAATATTTCGCCGTTATTGAAAGATAATATCCGATGGACCTAACACCGCGCCCCTCGCTCCGTAATGACGACCTAAATCTGATTCTTTCCCTTGTGTTCAAAACAAGAATTGAATTATCAGTTCCTTTTTTTTTTGACCCTCCCGAGAAAACACCCTGGGCACGTCCTTGGATGGACCATCGATTAGATAATCTAGTTCATCGGATATTATCTTTTGACCGTGGCGAAATGTTCTCGAAAATATCGATGCTCTGTCACTAATAGCAAATTCCATTCTCAGGAGCTGCTGCAAGTGTTTCTCCACTGAGTGCATAATACAGGGTGATAATTTGAAAACTACCCACCCTCAATATCTTCTTTCCAGTAAATAATGCGAAAAATCGAGAAGACAGGTCAATATTATTTTCAAGAGGACACTTAAAATGAATACTTTTAGCCTTCTTGGGTCAACCCTCTAGGAGGGGTAGATATTACCCTTAGAATCTCCAATAGGAAGGGGGAGAGGTTCAAGTGGCACATCATTTGAAGGGCGTTCAATTCTCTTTCCAACAGTACCATAGTTTATCATTTCAAGTTGAGCAGTTTTAGAAAAATGCCGTGTCAATTAAAAACTTTCCGCCCTTAATATCTTCCTTCCAATAATAAATAAAATGAAAAATCGAAAATATAGGTCAATTTCAATGTCAAGGTGAACACTTAAAATGCATATTTTTAGGCCTCTTGGTTCAACCCCCTAGGAGGGGTAGATGTTACCCTTACAACCTTATATGAAAAGGGCGTCAAGATGCACATTATTTTGAAGGGCGTTCAATTCTCTTTCCAACAGTACCCTAGTTTATGATTTTTTGATGAGCAGTTTCCGAAAAATGAATTCAAAATCTTCCTACCATTTGGACTGAAAGGGTCAATACAATAACACCAACCTGAAAACCATGCATATCAGTTGAGATATTAGTGCAGATATGTTCTACTAATTACTTCTGTAAGTTTAGAACGGCATTTTTCGGAAACTGTTCATCGAAAATGAAAATTAAAAACTAGGGTAGAGTTGAAAAGAGACTTGAACGCCCTTCAAAATGATGTGCATCTTGACCTCCCTTTTCACATTAGGTTCTAAGGGTAACATCTACCTATCCATTTTAACTAAGAGGGCTAAAAATATGCAGCAAGTGTCTTCCTCAGAAATGGAATTGACGTGTCTTTTCGATTTTTCATATTATTTACTGAAACAAGATATTATCGGGTGGGAAGTTTTTTAAGTAACACGACATTTTAGAGAAACTGTTCGACAGAAAATGAGGAAAGAGAATTGAACGCCCTTCAAAATGATGTGCCACTTGACCCCCTTTCCCATTTAAGATTCTAAGAGTAACATCTACCCCTTCTAGGGGGGTGAACCAAGATGGCTAAAACTCATCATTTCAAGTGTCCCCCTTGAAAATAAAATCGACCTGTTTTTTCTAAATCTCAATTATTCACTGCAAGGAAGATATTGAGGGTGGGAAGTTTTCAAAAAATCACCCTGTATATATACCTCAATGGAATTAACTACAATTTAAATATAAAATAACGGTAGCAAAAAAATCGGTGTACAGAGGATTTCACTCAACTTAAGGGATGGTACAGGTATGTTTTTGAGATCTACCATGTAATTGGCATTATTATTATCTCATTATCAAATCGCGAAATTTAGCGCAAAAGACCGCACAGGAAAGGAAAGTGCTATATTTCAATCATTTTGCTCAGGATAGTGATTGGAACATGTGCTGTTCGATAAAATACAATGTTTTTACATGCCTTTGGGACATGTCATTCAAATAATCAGATTACAGTTGAAATTTGCAGCCGGATCTTGGCCTATAAGCGTTACATATTCAGACGAAACGTGGCAACATCGCTCTGCATCTTGTATCTCGTAGTAGCGAAGTTGCCGAGTCACCAACGGATATTTACCGAATGTTTGTTCACCTAGCACGTGGTCAAATCTCGCCGATATCTACTCATAAAATGCAATGATATTATGTCGTTAATTGCATTGCAAATACATATTCTGACGAAACGTGGCAACATCGCTCCGCATCTTGTATCTCGTAGTAGCGAAGTTGCCGAGTCACAAACGGATATTCACCGAATGTTTGTTCACCTAGCACGTGGTCAAATCTCGCCGATATCTACTCATAAAATGCAATGATATTATGTCGTTAATTGCATTGCAATTACATATTCAGACGAAACGTGGCAACATCGCTCCGCATCTTGTATCTCGTAGTTAGACAGCGCATAGCGCAGTTGCCGAGTCACCAACGGATATTTACCGAATGTTTGTTCACCTAGCACGTGTTCAAATCTCGCCGATATCTACTCATAAAATGCAATGATATTATGTCGTTAATTGCATTGCAATTACATATTCAGACGAAACGTGGCAACATCGCTCCGCATCTTGTATCTTGTAGTTAGACAGCGCATAGCGCAGTTGCCGAGTCACCAACAGATATTTACCGAATGTTTGTTCACCTAGCACGTGTTCAAATCTCGCCGATATCTACTCATAAAATGCAATGATATTATGTCGTTAATTGCATTGCAATTACATATTCAGACGAAACGTGGCAACATCGCTCCGCATCTTGTATCTCGTAGTAGCGAAGTTGCCGAGTCACCAACGGATATTTACCGAATGTTTGTTCACCTAGCACGTGTTTTAGTCTCGCCGATATTATCTACTAATACAATGCAATGAAACATATTATGCCGTTATTTGTTGAAATTTTGATCGAAACCCTTTGCCAGAGAGTTCGCCCCATCAGTTACACCGACCCTTTTCATGAGGTTTGCACGTTACCTTTGCATCGAAAGAGTTGTCTTTAAGGCGTGGATCGACTTGCACTTCTTCCTCCTTGACGCGTCGGAAGGGCGTTACTGTGCGCTAGAATTACCAATGGAAAAACATCAACGCATGTGTTTTACACTTTTTTTTTTTTTCAACAAATTTATTTTAACAAAATTGTACAGCAGAAATAATAGGAATGCTTTAACTTTTCCAATGTTAAAATTCCATTGAATACCATCAATTGGTAACAAAGTTATGACATCAATTTTAGAAATTTACTTTTTAATGAAAATTTCAGACAAAATCTGAGAAACGACAAAATTGTCATATCTGAGGTTTTTGACAGCAATTTGATAACCTGCACTTTATCGATAAATTCAATGAAGGATACATCAAGTTATGACCTAAAATTTGTTGCCATGAACCATGAAACAATAAAGAATGTTTTACAAAAATATTATAGATTCTAGCTTCTATTCAAATAACTTCACGATGACCACTGCAATCATTGCAAAAATGAGATATGGTATACAGTGTGTCCCACTTAGCATGCTCACCATGGGTATCTTTAAAACGGTGAGAGATACGAGGTCGGTTAAATGACACCAAATGTGAAGTTTGTCAGGGCCCACTATAATGTGAAAAAATATTTTGATAAAATCTATTCGTTTTTGTTTCATACGCAAAAAACAGATTTTGATCATTTTCATGTCTCCTCTGTAACTTCTTTATTTATGAAAATATTCAAATAGGAATTTCACATTCTCATGGCAGTTTTTCAAAGTGATTTCGAAAATAATATGAAATTTATACCAACTCTTCTAGAATTTGAGATATCAGCACCAACTTTAGTTTTTCAAATGTAGGTCATAGCTCACTATGACCTATTTACAAATAACTTTTTTTTCTCTTACAGATGATATGTCGCAGTAATAGTTTTGTGTTGATAATAACGGAGTTATCGTCATTTATACAAGAACAAAAAATAATTTGGAAGCCGCCATCTTGAATTTATAAATTTTAACAAAAAAATCATGATCTCCGACCTCAAAAACCCCCACTTACTAATTTCGAATGGAATCGGACCAAATCTTGTCCGCCATCTTGGAGCAGCCATTTTTTTTTTATTTCAACAAAAATTCCATAACTCCGATTAACTTGAAATTTGGCAGGTGTTCATGATTTTGGTGACAATACATTATGGAATTTTTGTTGAAATTAAAAAAAATGGCTGCTCCAAGATGGCGGACAAGATTTGGTCCAATTCCATTCAAAATTGGTAAGTGGGTGTTTTTGAGGTCGGAGATCATGATTTTTTTGATAAAATTTATAAATTCAAGATGGCGGCTTCCAAATTATTTTTTGTTCTTGTATAAATGACGATAACTCCGTTGTTATCAACACAAAACTATTACTGCCGACACATCGCCTGTAAGAGAAAAAAAAAGTTATTTGTAGCTAAGTCATAGTAAGCTATGACCTACATTTTAAAAACTGAAGTTGGTGTTGATATCTCAAATTCTAGAAGAGTTGGTATAAATTTCATATTTTTTTCGAAATCACTTTGAAAAACTGCCATGAGAATGTGAAATTCCTATTTGAATATTTTCATAAATAAAGAAGTTACAGAGGAGACATGAAAATGATCAAAATCTGTTTTTTGCGTATAAAACAAAAACGAATAGATTTTATCAAAATATTTTTTCACATTATAGTTGGCCTTGACAAACTCCACATTTGGTGTCATTTAACCGACCTCGTATCTCTCACCGTTTGAAAGATACCCATGGTGAGCATGGTAAGTGGTACACCTTGAATAGGTGTTTTGATTTGAAAAAATAAAAACAATATTGAAGTTAATTAACAAACCCTGAAAAGATGAAAAAATAAAATGATTAAAATTGTAAATACTCATAGTGATCCAGTGCTCAAAATATGAGTGTGTGTGTGTGTGGTGTTTGTGTTTTGCAGTGAAAAATCAAGAACAATGGAATCATCAACAAATTTCTGGAGCATCATAACAGTGAATTCATCTCATTGTTCTCATGAGGCCGTCCATTTCTTGGACAACTTTGCTATTACCATAAAACAAACAAAGAAAAAACGATCATGAGGGAATATGTAGGCGCTTACCCTATCATTTCCATTAAAACTGTTGTTGCTGTTGTTGAAACTGTTGTTTTGTCCGGACTTGACGAAATTGTCATACTTTGGTTTCTTGACCTTCAATTCGTCACCATCATCTTCTGCTTCTTCTTTTTTATTTTTCTTTTTGGATTTCTTGGGTGACTCTTCTTCTTCATCATCTTCTGAAGATTCCTTATTGGCAGCTACCTGTAATTTGGCATGGGAATATAAATCATTGATTTATACCCAAATCATTGATTTATACCCAATTCTTCACTGAGGAGGTCGTAACTGATGAAGAATTACTTAAAAAATTTTGAAAGTGTGCTAATACATAGTAGAGGTCCAGAGCGTGCAATTCTTTTTTCTGATGGGATCAAAAGTAAGAAATATCTCGGAAATGTCGACGTGGGAGATCAAATGAAAAACCTTCAAAATATACCAAACTCCAGAAGCGTACTTTTTTTCTCAAGAGCGCCAGAACTTCGAAACTCTTTTGATGTACTAATGATTCTTCTGGGGATCAAAAATAAAATAATGTCGAGATTTTAAAATGTCTTCCTTGTATGATGATAGAGCATAGAAGTCACGACCTTTAGCTAAGTAAAAAAAAGCGGACTTCGACACAATTCAAATACAATGCAATTTGAAGGGCTTTACCATTTTTCTTGAGGGCTGTCCAAAATTTTCAATGATGCCGAATTTTCAGCGACGTACGCTGAATATACAGGGTGAATATAAATATCACTAAAAAATTTGAAGGCGTGATGCCTTGTGATATTTTGGGAAGTTCATATAAACATGTGTCTTAACTTGCCTCGTTTTTGAGATACAGAGTAGTATCTCCATGAATAATCTTTTTTCATTTCTCAATTGACTTTTCATCAATTTTAATAAAACTTTGTGGTTTTGTTAATAGTAATATGGAGCGTCTTCTGGTGCCATTAGATTCGAAATAATATTCACAGTGCCGTCACGGTGGGTAAATTTATCGATATTCATGGTGATTTGATTGAGATTACTAATAACCCCAATTAGAATGATTTTGAAATTTTGGGGCTTTCTCAGTCTCCATCCATACTGAATTTTGGCACCATGAAAGCTTATACAGGGGGGTTATAAATAAAAACAATCAATACTTCCAACTTCAACATCCTGTATCTCAAAAACGGATCAAGTTAGGTCACATGTTTATATAAATTTTATTTGCTAGAATGTCACAAGGAAACACCTCTTGAATTTTCTCGGTGTTATTTAGAATTTAGGAATGCACCGGATCGGGTATTTTCATTTTGCCGATCCGGCCGGATCGGGACCTAAATTGAAAATGTATGTGCATGCCTATTTTTATATGTAACACATTGAAAATAGTCAGGCTGATTCATTTTTACTTTTTTTCAAACTAGCTACAATATGCAGAGTGCTAATTACCATCAACTTTACCTAGATAGAAATTACTGTTTATTTAAATATTAATTTTTAATCAGCATTAACAAAATTAAAATAATTCTATTCATTCAATTATTGGAGAATAGCAGCCAATTGCCAATAATAAAAAAAATAAAAAGAAGTCGGGGAACCCAGCAACTATAGTGTCTATTTTCAGAAATTGGTAATACATTTGTTGACAATAGGTGTAGGATAAACTCTGAAAATGCCGAAAAACTCTTATTATTTCCCAATAATCTTAATAAAATAAATTATGAATCCTAAATTTCAAATTTCTCTAAATTTTTATGTTAACTGTATACAGTGTATACTTATAAGACTTATCCATGACAGGGAATTTGGCTTTTATTTTTGGCTGTTAATAATGTTTCAAGTTACTACTTGTTTTGTAATTTTTGGAAAGAAAATATATTTTGTTAAAAAAATATTTGTGATTAATTAACGACTTAACAATAGGTACTATAGGTAGGTAGGTAGGTACCAATTATAAAAAACCTTAAAATTATTTTCTTCATTTTTGCATATATTTGAATGCAAATTATATTTAAAATTTAAAACTTAAACATTTCCAAAAAGTTCAGAAAATTCCGGCCAGAAAGCGATCAGGTCGGAGCAATCCGGCCAGAACGGTAGTTCCAAGCCAACTGGCCGGATTTTGTGGTACCGCCGGAATTCCGGTGCACCCTCAATTTAGATACGCTTAACATTATATTCTTGGAAGAGTTGTTGCAACACACTGGTAATAGTATATTATGTAACAAATGTTATAAACGTCCTTTTAGTAACGAGTATTTGAAGCACGAGCGGAGCAGAGCGGAGCGAGTGTTTAATAAACGAGTGTCTAGAAGAGTTTATAAACGCGTTACATACTATGATTTTTCTACGAACTCCGAAAATTACATTAACATACCTGCAATTCTTGCTAACCTACAAATCAATTCGAAAGGAATGGGAATTGAGAACATAATACATGCAACTACATGCAACCAGCGCAGGGTTGGAATAAGTCATGACTTTTATAAAACAGTCATTAAAGTCCGACTTTTTGAATTAAGTCAGACTTTTTTGAATTAATTCATTTGAAAAAAAAAAAAATTTCATTTACCCAAAGCGAAATAGAAGAAAAGAAACAAAAAAACTATGTTTTCCTTCCCTTCAGAAATCTTGTAGAATAACATCATAATATACCATGTCATTTTTCAAAACAAAATTGAAAGTGATGATAGAATACAAAATAATAGATACATAACACATGGAAGTTTATTAGTAAAATATCGAAACATTTCTTCTCGGGGATCTATCATGCATGTCTGACTACTTAAAAGTCGAATTTGACACATGTCACTTGATCACTGGTATGGCGGCAAATTCAAAAAATTACGATGGCAAAAAGTGGGGTTAGATGGAAAGATGAAGTTATTAAAAAAAAAAAAAAAATAGCTATTTTCAGTTTTCTCAAATAATGGCTGAAAACTCCATATGTGAGCATGAATTTGAATTCTATTCAACTTGTACATCATCAACATCACTACTGTAAAAAAAAAAGAGAATTGTAACAAAATTGAAGAATATTCGAAAAAATATAGCTATTTCCAATTCTCCTCCAAAAATTGCTCGAAACTGAATGTGGAATAGCAACTTGATCAGAAATGTTTATGGATATTTTGTTATCTAACCCCACTTTTCGTCGCTTTATAGTGTTATTTTTATTTATCACCATACCAGTGATCACGTGACATGTGTCAAAATCGATTTTCAAGTTATCGGATATGCATAATGGATCGCCGAGAGAAAAAAATTCGATGCTGTGATAATAAACCTGTTCTCATATCTTATGGACTTAATGAATGATACTTGATACTGTATATATCTGTCCTCTGCGGTTCTCTGTCATGCTTGAAATAACAAAGTCTTGCCAAAATACGATCGAATTTTTCATTTTAAACTAGTTGAAATCAAAGGTAATAGTGCAATTTGTCTCATTTTTAAAAATTTGAATGAATTCATGACTTCTTCGAAAAAAGTCAATGGAATTAATTCACGAATTAAATCACTGAACCAGCGAGACACGTATAAGTGATATTGGTTGTAGATGTGTCCAGTCCATTGCTTACTAACCTTTGTTTCAGGTTTATTGTCATGATTAGCGCAGAATAAATAAATTGTTCTCAAAGATGGATGCTGCATTTTCACACTTCTTGGAGATATGCAAGTACCAGAACATTCTCTTCGATTCCACTTTTGTCTACTTTTCGCATATATTTTTATTATTGTATTAATATTGTTTGAATAATTCTGATACAAAATTTGAAAACAACAGTTGACATTTAATATAATTGACAGGCCAGACATGTCTCAAATTACCGAAGCTGTGTTTAATGAACTGCGTTGCCATGGTAATGTGTTTAAGAAATCGTGTTGCCATGGTAACGTGTTTAATATTTCGAATAAATCACAGATCGTCAATCCGTGATTAATCGATCATTTAGCGTGGTACATATCCGTACGCTAAATGCCATTTTAGTTATGTGAGTAGAAAAAATAAATAATTAAATAGATAGATCAATTCAATGAAACCCATTCTTTATTGATTTTACCTTCTTGGGTGCAGGAGTGGACACGGCAGCCGGCTTTTTCGGAGACCCTTCCTCCTCACTCGAGTCATCTTCAGAACTACTCTCCTTCTTCGTGGTAGGCTTCTTCGCCGCCGCTTGAGGCTTAGCAGGAACCTTCACAGCAGCCGTTTCCTCATCGCTCGACTCCTCCTCGGAACTGCTCTCCTTTTTAGCCGTTTTTTTGGCGACGGCAACCGGTTTCTTCGCAGCCACTGTGGCCTTGCTTTCCTCCTCTGAACTGTCATCCGAACTGCTCTCTTTCGTTTTTTTCGCGGGTACAGAAACCGGTTTTTTCGCTGCCGGAGCTACGACCGCTTGTTTTTTCGCGGGCGGTTTAGCTTCTTCCTCGGAAGAATCTTCTGAACTGCTTTCCGCTTTCCGTTTGGCGGCAGGCGTTGTTTGGACAGCCGGTTTGGCGGCGGGTTTTTTCGCTGGTTGTTCGTCTTCGGAAGAGGAGTCTTCGCTGCTGCTCGGTTTTTTCGCGGGCGGTTGTTTGGCCGGCTGAGCTTTGGCGGGGGTCGGTTTGGGGGTTGGTTTTTTGGTGGCCGGTTCATCTTCATCGGAAGAATCCTGATGAGGTGAAAATAGTTCTCAATACGTATGTACAGAGAATTGCACGAAATACGGCCATTGCTGTACCTTCTCAATCTTTCGAGATCGGATTTTGAAATTTGGTGGGTTGTATGTATACCAAATTGCTCTTTATTGACAAGAAAATATTTGTTTCATCACTCCCGATTGAACCGGAAGTAACCCCAACTTCTGATTTTTTTTAGTGGCCGTATATTTTTTTCATTTTAGGATCCAGTATCCGTCCTATTTAAAATTCTAAAGTTGGGGTTGCTTCCGGTTGAAAGAAATGTGAAAAAATAAATATTTTCCCCAATAAATGGCAATTTGGTATACTCACTAATCTCCAAATTACAAAATTCGACTTCTCTGTAACAGAGAATTGCTAACTTCTGAATTATTCAAAGTCGGATTTTGAAAATTGGTGGGTGGTGGGTAGCAAGTAAACCAAATTGCCTTTTATTGACAAAAAATACTTCTTTCACCACTTTCGCTTCAAACAGAAGCAACCCCAACTTTTGATTTTTAAATAGGACAATCTGTTTGTTTACTTCGATATTTTGATCAGAAGAAGTTCCTAGTGTATGTAAAACGATCCCCTGAATCCAAAAATGAAAAAATATATAGGATGTTCTTTTAAAAATCATATCATCGGCTTACTTCCGGTTGAACCGGCATTGATAGAACAAATATCTTCTTGTCAATAAACGAGGACTTTGGTATAATCGATAAGAACCAAATCTCACAAAACTGTACCATATTGAAATATTCTTGTTTTGTCATAGTGCCGTATATATAGGATCCGCCATCTCTAATTGAAGACCTCGGTGCAAGAACTCAAATTTTTTTAAATGTTGGGGAATGAAAAAAAAAACTCAATATTTTTGAGAAACTGGTAAAAAAATGCTGAATGGTGTGAATCCTTCAGAGCTACTTAAGATAAGCTGTATTTACCTAGATACTAATTTTCATTTACATTATAGAAGGTAGAGAAGAAGTTTGAAAAAATGGAGTTGCCTGTTTCTTGCCCCAATGACAAAATTCTGAAAATAAAGTAACACTCGTGTAATAATTTTGCTTCTCTATTGAAAATGAATTATATAACGAAACATATTGTAAACAAATAGGATTTTGAACATAGGAAGAATCGCTGACGTTTCCTGCGTCTTGATCTTCGTTAACTTTGCCAGAATTTGGGTCCTCTTCGCCAACAGTTATGTTTTTGGAACATATTCACTCCCCAAATCTTGAAAGGGCTCACTTTCACTTTCCGACGACATTACATTGTATTGCATGAAACAAATGATCAAACTAATCACGCCACACACGATGGAAGACGCGGGAAGGCTCGCCGCTAATAACCTCACTCCGACCTCTCCCACTTCTAAAATCGGGTAACTTCTGGAGTTGCCCGACTCTTACACCTCAATGACTCATCAGGTAAATCCTCTCTCGTGTTAACCTGATAGGAAATTGTTGGATTCGTTTTATTCTTCCACCAAAAGATGCGCAAGAAAAAATTCTATATGTTGAATAACAGTAACCCAATTTTGGCATGAAATGGAGTTGCCCGGTTCTTGCACCGAAGTCTTCAATCACCTAATTTTAACGAAGGAATCATAATTTCCGGATGGAAGAATCATAATCTTCGACCCCGAAAACCCCCATATACCTATTTTGAATAGAATCATAATAACAAAAGTCGTTCGTCATATTGGTTCGGCCATTTTAAATTTTCAAATTTTGATAAAGGTATCATAATCTCCGACCCTGGAAACCCCCAGATACCAATTTTGAATAGAATCGGAACATAATTACAGAACTCTGTCGCCATATTGGGTGCGCCATCTTGAATTTCCGAATTTTGACGAAAAAATAATAATCTCCGACCCAGAAACACCGGATACAAATTCTGAATAGAATCGGATAATAATTACAAAACTCGTCCGCCATCATGATTTTCAAATGTTGACGAGAGAATCATAATCTCCGACCCCGCAAACTCCCATATTTTTTTTATCGCTTGGAGCGCACGAAAGGGAATCCCTATAATGTTCAAAGAATATCGTGCGTTCCTAGGGAGGATAGGGACAGGAGGTAGGTATTGAAATTTTGAATAAAATGAGATCATAAATACAAAACTTGTCCGCCATAATGGTTCCGCCATCTTGAATTCCCAAATTTTGATGAAAGAATCATAATTTCCGACCCCGAAAACCCCCACATAACAATTTTGAACAGAATCGGCACATGATTACAAAAATCTTCACCCATATTGGATCCGCCATCTTGAATTTCCAAATCTTGATGAAAGAATCATAATCTCAGACCCCGAAAATCTCCTGATACCAATTTTGAATAGAATTAAAACATAATTACAGTACTCTGCCGCCACACTGGCTCCACCATCTTGAATTTTCAAATTTTGACGAAAGTATCATAATCTCCGACCCCGAAAATCCCCGGATACCAATTTTGGATGGAATCTGATGATAATTACAAAACTCGTCTGCCATATTAGATTTGCCATCTTAAATTTCCAAATTATGATGAAAGATAGAATCTTAATCCCCGACCCCGACAACTGCCAGATCCCAGTTTTGAATAGAATCGGATTATAATTACGAAACTCGTCCGCCATCTTGAATTTTAAAATTTTGACGGAAGATTCCTAATCTCCGACCCCGAAAACCCCCAGATACCAATATTGAATGAAATCGTATCATAATTACAAAACTCGTAAGCCATATTGGCGCCGCCATATTGAATTTTCACATTTTGACGAAAGAATCATAATCTTCTACCACTGGAACCTCCAGGTGCCGATTTTGAATAGAATTCGATCATAATTTATTACAAAACTCATCCGCCATATTCGTCCCTTGCCTCCCCCCCCCCACATGCGGACGCCCCTGTATAGTATCCTTGATATTTATAGCAATTCTTGATAGAAAATAAAACGTTGCTCCAACTGATGACAACAACATGAACACTTCTGAGCGGTTTGTTTTGATGATGTGACCAATGAGCACAAACACAAAACGAATGTGAACCAATGGAAACAAATGAAAAACAGGCCGCTTTGAAAGCTTTCAAGAACTCCGATAGGTGGCGTATGCTTAATTTCTATGGCGAATACAGAAAATATCCGGCCAAGAGCTAACATCATTGAAATAGCGAATCACTATCGGCCCCAACAGTGAATGCCTCCGTATTTTTTTCAATGATTATAATCACTTGGAAAGAAGAAAAAAAAGTAGGTGGACTGCAGAATTTGAACTCTGGATTTTAGGCTTATCAACAATACTCCATTGGCCATCAAGTGTCTTTTTTTGTTGCCTCCTTGAAATTTTTTTTTGTACAATGAAAAGTGTCCTATGTTTTTTCTGATATATCTAAGAATATGCATACAAAGATCAATCTATGGAATATGTATACAACATTTCATGTTAATGGGTTGAGTAATTTTTTCATGAAAGCTGGACAAACAAACTTTTACATTCACATTTATAATATCCTAGGGATGAACTAAATAATGATTAATGATTTATAACTTGATATATAAAAGATTCATTATGCTGAGTCTGCAGATGACAAAAAGTTTTCTTTTTACTTCATATATTTTCAAATACTCCACTAGACTAACTATTAAGTTAACAGCTGGAAATTTTTCTCTTTACTTCATATTTTATCTTCTCAAATACTGCACTAGACTAAAAATTAAGTTAACAGCAGCAAATTAGGAAACATAATTATCACCATCAAAGGTTTTTTGATTTTTTTTTTGCAATAACACCATCAAAGGTTTTTTGATTTTTTTTTTCAATAACACCTAAAGAATGATTTGAAGAATTTCTGACTTTTTCAAAATTTGTGTCTTGGAACTAGTTCATACTATGATTCTAGGGGTGTACCCACAGTGACAAGTGAATTTTTGCAATTTTCATAATTATTTCATATTATTATGTATCAAATAAAAATGCTACATTTTTATTCCTTTTTTGTATTTTGCTTCATTCTTGAACAAGAAATTAAAAAAATGTGTTCTTCTTTGAACCAATTGAGACAAAAACTAGAATGCCAGAATGCCACTATGCTTTTATGACAACTAAAACAAGAAAGTTTTAATGCTATTTTTTTCCAAAGTACATACATAGCATAGTAGTTCCAACTTTTCACAATTGAAATGTCCTTATTCAAGCAAAAGTGTGGAAAAATGTAAAGAATACCCTTTCTGAAAAAATTATAAAATCTATGGCTTTTCAGTGTTCAAGAAAATCAAAACCACTATATTGGGAGGAAATATACATACTCACCTTAGAAAATGAATGAGAATTACAGGAAATGGAAGACAATAAGAGGTAAGTGGAAATAATAAACAAAAGTAAATAGGACATGAATTAAAAATGATAAAAAATTGAAGAAAGGAATGGACAAGGAAGGAAACTGATGAAAATAAATAAATACACGTAGAATGGACACAAATGGATGAAATTAATAGAGAATATGATATGAAAATAACAATTGAACAATTTCATCCTGAAATTGCATTTCTGTATATTCACATTACCTACTTCATGATACAGGATGAACTACTAATGAAATTGTGAATTTATAAGAATATTGCAATAAATCTTTGAAATGCAATACTTAATACACACATCATCTACAACTTTAAATCAAGAAATGTGGTTAATTTCTCTTAACATCATATTCCTGTTGAAATTCTGTTCAATTTGTTATTTAATTCTCATTAACAGGACCATCAAATTCAGTTAAGCATAGCAGTGTGAACTTATTATTTTACTCTTCGAAAGTTTAGTTGCATCTGTAGTTTCATCCCATGCAAGTCTCATGCAATGTATGATTTTTTGGGATATCTAATTTAAAGAATACAAAAAATTGATTGAAAGAATAGAATATCATGTTGTCAATGAATATTGAATTTAATGTGATTAATTGATATTTGAGTCAAGATGAAATAGAAAACATTAAATAACAAGATTAGACTGAAAAACTGGAAAATACAAGGTTGATTGTTAGATCTATAGAAAAAATCAACAAATCACCTGAATATTTTGAATTATTATTGATGAAAGCCTAACCAAACCTTTTGCAATGCATCATTCAATCTGATTTCATTTAACTCACCTCTGAACTGGATTCTTCTTTCTTTTGAACTGGTTTGGCAGTAGGTTTAACAGCTGGCTTGACAGGTGCCTTCTGTTGAGCCTGCTTGGGAGTATCCTCTTCATCAGAACTATCTTCAGAACTACTTTCTGTCTTCTTTGCTACCTTGGCAGCTTGGCTTTTAACAGCAGGCTTTTGTTGAGCTACCTGCACTGCTGGCTTCTTTGGAGCTGGTTTATCTTCTTCAGAAGATGAATCCTCTGAGCTGCTTTCCTGTTTTTTTGCAGCAGCAGCAGGTTTAGCAGTGGGTTTCTGAGGAGGTGCTTGCACAGCTGGTTTCTTGGCAGCTGGTGTTTCTTCTTCAGAAGATGAATCATCTGAACTACTTTCCTGTTTTTTTGCAGCAGCTGCAGGTTTAGCTGCAGGTTTTTGTGGGGGTGCCTGCACTGTTTTTTTCTTTGCAGCTGGTTTTTCTTCTTCAGATGAATCATCTGAGCTACTTTCCTGTTTCTTCACTATAGCAGCAGGTTTAGCTTTAGGGGCTGGTTTCTTTGCAGTTTCTTCTGCTTCTGAATCAGATTCAGAGTCTTCTGAACTGCTCTTTGCTTTTTTCTGAACAGGTGCTTGTTTCTTAACAGGCTTGACAGGCAATTTCTGAGTGGGTGGTGCACTAGGCTTTTCATCTTCAGAACTGTCTTCACTACTAGACTCAGGTTTTTTCTGGGCAGATTTTTTAGTTTCTTTTACAGCACCATTTGTCAATTTTGGTTTCGGGGTATCATCTTCTTCACTACTACTTTCCTCACTCTGTACTGTACTCAATTTGATTGTTTTTGCTTTTGGACCAGTTTTCAAATAATGACTCAAGACCTCATTTAAATTGGGACCTTTGTCCAATGTAGGCTAGAATAGAAATAAGGGTCAATCATTTTGGTATTGAAAGATGGAAAATACATGTGAAACACGCACGTGGTGAGTCTATGCCGCAAATGAGGATTTTCCTTGAGATGTTTCTCAAAATGAATAACACTTGTAAAATGAAGTTTGTACTCACAGCATTGAATTTCTTCTGGAAAACGCTAGCCAAATTTTTATCTTTTTTCGAAATACAGTCAAAAACTAATGCCGAGGCCAGAGAATTCACATACTCCGCCATTTTCAGTTGTAAAAAGGAAGAAATTAAAATCAGCGCCAAGGCTGTTCCTGACCGAAAATATATAGTACTAGATCACATTTCGAAAAAGTACTAGATCTGAAAATTTAGTACTGAATTTCAATTTTCTTCAAATTTGTCGCCCCCGAGGTGCTTGCATAGTTTTTATTCACAAATTCAAGTCATCAGGAAAACAAATATGAGTGGCATCATTTCACCATATGAGGATATCAAAATGAAACATGCAATTCAATTGATCAAAGTAATTGAAATATTTTCAAAATGGAAGAAATGGGGGCTAACATTATTTACTGACCACTGAAACGTGAGGTCAGGATTGGTAGAAATAATAAATAAACTTCTCATTTTCGTATCATTTGGCATCTTATTCCGACGATATCTTATTATCTTGTCCGTAAATGTAAGAATTGGTTGTAAAGTTCCACATTGAGAGTTGAAAAACGTGAGTCGGCTCAAATCTTTCGATAACTTGAGGTTTTCTATTTATTCAAATATTCTACATAATTTTTTTCGAAAATTGTCGATAAAATTTCCACCATGGCCATAGTCTTTACGGCTATCCGGCAAAATATTGGGATTTTTGACTTTGACACTGACCTCGCGATCTAGTAGCGACAACTGGTGAGAGTGAAAATGTAAGCCCTCATTCATTTTCATCCACTTGGTGGACAATAGAGAGTTGAAGTGTTGTCATGAACGTTAACGTAAACGTAGAAATTGACAGCTACGCATGCGCATTTTCCAATTCTTCACGTTTGCGTTGTTAGTGGGCTTACGGGTGTACGTTATCTCACGTTCCTTCACGTATACCTTAAATATCAACGTACGTTAACCAAACTATACTCGAAATATGCCGATGAGTCAAAATTATCAAATTCGAGATCACCAACGAGTTCTGCATCAAGGAGTCCTCTAATTTTGACAGGAATAAATGTTAGAATCTAAACACACAACCAAAAATGACCAATACAAACCGAAAACAAAATGTATTATTACGTTATGATGACAGTGACGACCAAAGTGGCGACTTCAACTCAATTTAACGACAATACGTAAACGCTATTTTTCGTATGTTAACGTCTACGTGGAGGTCTACGTACAGTGATTACTTCAACTCTCTAATGTGAACCCAAGGATCTCGATACTCATTTAGTACTAGATTCCATCAAGAAGTACTTTGATACTGCACATCTTCGAATAGTTCTAAATCTAGTACTAAAGTACTGACTGGAACAGCCCTGATCAGCGCTCTCACAGATCATTATTTTGTGGACAGCATAGCAACTAGAAAGTGGAAGTGGCTATTCGCACGCAGTGCGTGCATATATACGTATACGTACGAATAGTGATGAGGCACTTTATCCGTACAGTCGCATTGAAAAAAAAGCGTACAAGTATAATACAGAGAAATTAACGTCATCATATTCTGCATAACACGGGCTATCGGGAATGATTGTTCACCAAATGTTGACAGTAAAGTTGTCATAGGTTCTCGAAGAGACAAAGCATTGGCTGAGCCAGTTTTACACAATGAACACAATGTTTATATTGAGTTCATTGGTTTTAAACAACTAGAGCTGGGATCCCGAAATCCTCTTTTTAATACTTGTACGCTTTTTTATTGAATACGACTGTACGTTTACGTGCGAATAATCACCAAGAATGCTATCCGTACGTTAATTGACTCCGATCACAACTATATTTACGTGCTGAATGCGTACGTATGTAAAGAATGATGGAAGAGATATGGTGCGCGTCGAACGTTAACGTGCGGATAGGATTTTGATTTGAGTTATTTGTACGTAAACATATGGATAGATCTGTGATGCAGCCTTGATCTAGGGAAGCAGCCCTAGCAAGTCAGTACTGACCCTTATAATCCTTGAGTACTGACCAAGGTTAGTAGAATCTTTTCTACTAACCTTGAGTACTGACACTACTGACTACAGAATATTTATCTGTCATTTCTGTCAAAGGGTTGTGTAAATTTTGAAAAATAATAGTACTGTACTCACCGTACCACACCGTACTATGAACATAGAACTCGTATAAGTTTTATGACTAGGAACCACTTATGCTTGGATGCTCCGCTCAGAATGAAATGAATATTCTGTTTCATTTTACTTATCAATTATGATGGCAATAGGCAATAGGCCCTTTCTCTTGTACGAAAAGTGTAGCACATTAGTACACTTCGTGTTATTTACACCGTATTGAGCATTTTTTCAAAAAGTCCATTCCACAACTGTGTAGGTAGTTCATCTCCACCTGGTCTTGGGCAGGTGTGAATCGAATTCAAAAATGAATGCAATCTCGATTAATGAAACACATCTGTTCCTTCGTTTGTTTGAAATTCATTGGTGTAGCTGCACGAAATATCAGCTGATTTATAGTAGTGTAGTGCATTTTACAGGACACTGAAAAGCAGACGAAAGAACCTCTCTGTGTGTCATTTTGAAAGATTTTGAATTACATTAAAAAAAGAAGTGGATATTAGGCCGACTGGCCGAAAAAATCATGATTAATTTAAGAACTGAATTTTACAATGAGCGAATTTCGATATAGCCAACACAAACAAAAACAAGAGCCGGATAGACCAAGCTATTATTACATACGAAACAATTATTTGGAGAAGATATGTTATAATTTGAATCCTAATGAAGCCCTCATTAATAAAGAGTCCATAATTTCCAATTCAACGGAGAAACAATGATGAGCTTTTTTTTACTGATGAATTGACTTGACTTGTTTGAGTCATCTTCTTTATCTTATTGATATTAAGATAGTATTTGAGCTCTTTCTGTATTGTGATATGATCCTTTTCATCTCTTATTTTCGGCTTTATTAGTTTATAATTGTTCCATGAACTACGTCTTTCATAGGTGTTTTAATGTGCTGTCTATTATTATTTTGAATTTTTTATGAATGAATATGAAGTTTTTCATAAAAATTGTGAATCGTAAATTTTGAAGTTATTTTCTCAATTTAGTACAATATACTTGAATTTAGTACAATTTTGTAATGACTTCTAGTACAAATTGAAATTCTGAAATGGCAACACTGTTAGCAGAAAGTCGGTGCAAGACCTTAGATCATGTACAAACGTTAGACATTTTTGTGACTTTGTGTTGTGACCGCTCGAAAGGATGAATAGCCACTGCCACTACTGCCAGTGAAATAAACAATGAAATGTTTCCATATGATTTTCCTCTCCCTTTAGCCTTTGATTTTATAGCTTTCACAAGATAGAATTATTCAATCATGACGAGTAGAACTGTGTCAAACATGATCTAATTAAGTAATTAGGCAACTGTAGTGATAGTGGAACTTGTGATAATCTATTGAATATATTTGTGGTAGAAAACACATACTTAAGAATTCATCAAGTGATCCAGCAGTGTTGTGATATATTTTTTTATTATATTTATATTGAACTTTCTTTTATCATAACATATTCATTAAGAATATGGGGTTACTCTTTGCTAAACTGTGGAATCTATTTGGCAATGAAGGTATAAAGGTTTCCTTGATTTTTTTATTAATTTTATAATTTTTCTTTGTTACATTTCAGAACATAAAATAGTTATTGTGGGCTTAGACAATGCTGGTAAAACTACAATATTGTACCAGTTTTTAATGAATGAAGTTGTGCATACTAGTCCTACTATAGGCTCAAATGTTGAAGAGGTTGTATGGCGAAATATCCACTTCATCATGTGGGATTTGGGTGGACAACAATCTTTAAGAGCAGCTTGGAGCACTTATTATACAAACACAGAGGTAAATTAATCCTCAATCATACTTGGTTCAATCAAAAACTTTTTTTTTTCAGTTTGTTATAGTGGTAGTTGATTCTACAGACAAAGAAAGATTATCCATGATCAGGGAAGAATTGTACAAAATGTTAGCCAATGAAGAATTATCCAAAGCAGGTGTGTTAGTGTATGCTAATAAGCAGGATGTTAAAGGATCTATGACAGTCTCTGAAATATCAAAAGAACTAGACTTGACCTCCATCAAACAACAACAGTGGCACATACAATCCTGTTGTGCCCTCACTGGAGAAGGGTAAGTACCTAGTTATTTGACTAATCTGACTGTTCAATATACACCAGTGGATATTCATAGAATATTCCTCACAATATTCTTTAGTTCAGCTTTCCATCAGGCCATATTTCTGATTTGTGTTGGTGTAGAGATATATTGATTTGCAATCTTGATGATGAACTTGTACTCAAAATTTTTACTTATTTAATGAAATGAATATATCCCTATTGATCTGTGACAATTGAATTTTTACTGTCTATCATGTGGGTCAGTATCTTTTTTTTTTTTTTTTTTTATCGCTTGGAGCGCACGAGAGGGAATCCCTATAATGTTCAAAGAACATCGTGCGTTCCTGGGGAGGAAAGGGACAGGAGGTAGGTATTGGAATTTTTTTTGAACTTTTGGAGATTATATGTTGTTGGGAATACTTCCACAGGCAATGAATTCCAGAGCCTAGCCGTTCTATGGATGAAGGAGTCTTGATAAAGTGCTGTTCGACATCTTTCGAGGTTGACAACGAAAGGATGTGCTGACTGGGCTTGTCTAGTTCGTCTGATTGGTATTGCTAGTGAAGGGATGATAGCAGAGATTTCCGAAGAACATTTTCCGTGGAAGTATCGATAGAAAAGTGAAAGGTCGCCGACCTTCCTACGGTGTTCCAATGATGTCAAAGAGTGAGTGAGTGTGGCGTCACCCACCAGGCGAATGGCTCTTCTCTGGATGGAATCTAAGAGCATCAGCGTATGTTTTGGTGCTGAACCCCATATGTGGGAACAGTATTCTAGAACAGGCCGTATCTGCGCTTTGTAGATCATGAGAAGCTGTTGAGGTGTAAAGTAGCTTTTCGCACGGAACAAGAATCCGAGTTTTTGTGAAGCAGCTTTCGCGATGGATCTGACATGATTATCCCATGAAAGAGTGTTGCTGATGGAAATACCGAGCATAGATATGGTGGGCTTGGTGGGGATGGTGGAGCCAGACATTACAATATCGGGCATACTGAGTTCCGCCTTTCTAGAGAAAATGCAGGCTTGAGTTTTGGTGGCGTTGAATTCAACTAGGTTGTTTGTTCCCCAGGCTGTGATTTCTGCAAGATCTTCATTGACAGCATTGACCTGCCTGCGCCGTGAGTTCTTAGTTTCCTGGGAAGAAATGGGAATTCTGGAAGAGAACGCAGTATGGAGGGTACTGTCATCTGCAAAGCTGTGGATGGGGCAAGTTGTTACTCCCAACAGATCGTTGATATGAAGCAGGAATAATGTTGGTGCCAAAATTGATCCTTGTGGAACGCCGGAATTGATGCCAAAGGTATCAGACGATACACCGTCCACCACCACGTGAAGCGATCTGCCTGAAAGAAAACTCGATAAGAGATGGCATAGCTGAGGTGGTAAGCCGTATGATGGTAGTTTGTGGAGGAGTCCTTCGTGCCAAACACGGTCGAATGCTTTCGATATGTCCAACGCGACAGCTAGAGATTCCCCGTGTTTTTCTATTGAAGATTGCCATAAATGGGTGACATAGGCAAGTAGATCTCCAGTAGATCTTCGGTGGCGAAAGCCGTATTGTCGATCGTTGATGATTCCTGAGCTCTCCAGATATTTGATGAGCTCAATATTGATGGCTTTCTCCATCACTTTGGAGATTACTGATAACAGGGCAATGGGCCTGTAGTTGTTGGGCAGGTTCTTGTTTCCCTTTTTGGGGATTGGTTGGACTCTAGCTGTCTTCCAGCATGATGGAAAAATACCCGACCTGTACGAGATGGTAAACAACTTGCAGAGAATCGGTGTTAATTCTGGTGCACATTTTTTGAGGATAATGGGTGGAATTCCATCAGGACCGTTAGCCTTATTCGTTTTGAGACCAAGCAAAATTCGTCTGATAGTGCGTTGACGGAAGACGATTTCGGGCATTCGACTCTCAACGGGTGGAATGTCTGGCGGCAGTTTTCCTTGGGAATCTAAAGTAGAGTTTGCTGCGAACATCTCTGCAAAAATATTTGCTTTCTCCTGCGATGTTGTTGCTAGTGTGCCGTCGGATTTGGACAGTGGTGGAAATGAACTATTAGTGAAATTTCTTCCGACCGCTTTAGCAAGGGACCAAAACGAACGGGAGCCATTGGGGCAATCTATCAGTTTCGATCTTATCTTGGCATTGTATGTTTCTTTCTAATCAATCAATTAAGTTCACCTTGGTCAAAACTGGTCAATATTAGTTTTGGGATCAGTTTTGTGAAAATATTCTTTCCTATTCAGCAATTTTCAAGGGGGAAACAACTACCCAAAATGTGTACACCATATTTAAATATCTGGTGATTGAAAAGTACTTAAAATACTTGAAACTGGTACTTAAGGGACTGTTAACGGGTACTTAAATACTGAAAATGAGACTTAAAGCTTATTAAATTTGTAGTTACTTAATGTATTAAAAATGATACTTAAAGTAGGTACTTAAAATTCCATGGTGTACACCTATTTAAAGAGTTCTTTCCCTCTCGGCAATTTCAAATCAAGATTTTATTAACTGCTTGATGTTGTTATCAAAAAGTCAAGCAAAAAGTACTAGGTATTTGGGGCATAACAGGTTTTGAAGTTGAATTTAAGCTGTTTCAGTTCTAACAAACTATTTGATAATGTATATAATATTATGAAAAATAATACATATTGATTTGAACAATCTTCATTGATGCATTCAAGGCAACATAAGGAATGTTGTGAAAATAGTTTATCTAGGATGAAAACAATGACCTCTTGGTTGCAACTTGAGACATGAGTGAATAATAAACACATCATATCACATTTATTTTATCATGTGTTGGGTTACACTGTTGTCATTCAAGGTTTTCCCATTAGACATGATATAAGAAATAATCACAGTTTTTTTCTGAATTCCAAGGCAATTTTCTTCAACCAAGTCTAAGAAAAAAAATCATATTTTGCCACATGAATTGGATGTTGGATCTATCTCTGAATAGGAAAAAAATAGAGAAACAATGAATACCAATTGAAATTACATATTTTAGATATTAGAAGTATTCAGTACTTTTTACCTGGCAGAATAAACTAGAACTTTCCATTTTATTCATTCCAGAGTTTCAGTTAATTCAGTTTCTTTCAATTTGGAGAAAAATTGAGGAAACATTTTCTGTGAACTTTGTGATATGTGTTTTCAACCAATTTTAGAAACAGTGTTTGAAGAAAAAATCCTAAAAATAGGAACTGTATTAATACAGGGTGAGTCAATAGTGTGTTCTCCTTCTATATTAGCCAAACCCTCAGATATATAGAAAAAAATCGAATACAACAGTTGTGGGGTTTCTTGGGAACTATCACCTAAAATTATTTTCATATCTATAGGGTGTTCAAATTCCAAGATATTGGTTGATGATGGGTGTTTTCAAATGAGACACCCTGTATATCATTACATTTTTTGATTCTTCCTTAAGAGCTGATTTCATCAATGTATCACACTAGGGGGGACTAGCTGAAATGTTTGTAGAGATATTAAAAATGCAATAATTATAATACAGGGTGTCCCATTTAAAAACACCCATCATCAGCCGATATCTTGGAATTCAAACATCCTATAGACATGAAAATAATTTTAGGTGAGAGCTCTCATAAAATTCTATAACTGTTGTATTCGAATTTTTTTTATACAGGGTGATCCACGGTGGATGGCCTATTAGAAGTAGCTGGAGAACAAAGAGACAGAACATTCTGAAAATTGGAATGCTTTGATAATTGAACATTCTCTATCCGTCTAGAATATTTTCATCGATACAGTGTTGCCACTTCTATCAGAAACAACTAGCAACTTCGTTATTCTAAATGAAGCACCCTGTATTTCACTGCATTCTTAGATTCTTCCAGAAGAGCTGATTTCATCAATGTATCTTGGGGTCTAGCAGGAATTATTACAGAGATATAGGGTGTTCAAAATCGAGATTTTTCAACTTTAGGATTTTTTGTGTCGAAACTATTCATTATCGATCAAAACGGCTGACATGCCCCTATCTTAACTTTTGATTCATTATCTACTGGAATTTAATTGGAAGAAATACAGGGTGCTTCAAGATTCAAGAATTCTGATCACCCTGTATCTGTCCCAATTGAATGTCAGTAGATAGTGAATCGAAAGTTAAGATAGGGACATGTAAGCCGTTTTGATCGTTAATGAATAGTTTCGACACAAAAAAATCCTGAAATTGAAAAATCTCGATTTTGAACACCCTATATCTCTGTAATAATTCCTGCTAGACCCCAAGTATGATGCATTGATGAAATCACCTCTTCTGGAAGAATCTGAGAATGCAGTGAAATACAGGGTGCTCCATTTAAAATAACGAAGTTGCTAGTTGTTTCTGATAGAAGTGGCAACACTGTATCGATGAAAATATTCAGAATGTTCTGTCTTTTTCTTCTTCAGAAACTTCTAATAGGCCATCCACCGTGGATCACTCTGTATACCTGATGGTTTGGCTAATATTGGAGGAGAACACACTATTCTCACCCACCCTGTATATTAAAATATTGGAGTGTGTATCTAATTTCTATGATTTATTTTTATGGTCGAATTGTCTAATGAAAATCATTATATTTTATATACCTCAATGAAAATATTAGTATGAAGCACATAATGTAAATAACTATCCCTGCTGAAGGTCAACTTCACAAAATGAAATGAACCCAATTTCAAAATGTGGAAAACCTGCTCGTTTTCCTAATAAAATTCCGTATCATAATTTACCTTTTATTACGACATTACATAATTACATAAGTAAAAGTATCTCTCGCATGGTACCTCTACCATACCATAATCAAGAATGAATGAATGGCCGAAAAATCTCACATACTTGGAGATGAACGGAAACGCGGGAATATTTAAAATTAAATTGGGTGGTGAGCTAAATTGGGTGGTCCACAACAAAAATGAAATTATTTTCAACAGTAATTTTATAAATGATAATTCATTGCTAGGGTTTCAAAAGATGAAAGAAAAGAAAACCACTCAATCATTTGTTGGTTTATTTTCCGAATATTAAAAAAAATGAATTCAACTAAACTCTGAGGTTGTTCTGGTGGCATATCAAACAGGGTATCTGGAAAAATCGATTTTTGTTTCAGATTATATCAAGGACTAGAATGGATAGTCAGCAGATTGAAGAAGAAATGACATACTACCTACTTTAGTTAAAATAAGTCTCTCATCATCGGTTGTAAACGATTGTAATATATTAGAGTACCTATAAAAAATATTCATAACAACTTTCTCACATTGAGAAAAGCAACTGAGAATCTTTGTCAAATGATTAAATTGATCATTATCTCATCAACATATTTTCTAAAACAAATAATAGTGTTCACATACTGTATGTTTTTTTTTTCAGTGGCTTCTATTTATTATTATTGCTCTATCTTCCTATCTTTAATGATTATAATAAATTAGGAAAATATTTGCATCATTCATCATGTTAGGAAATTTCTTAGATGAGTTTCCCTAGAGATTCAGGGGTTTCTTTATATACAATGTGACCCATTTGAAATCAAAATACCCTCCAAAATATTTATTAATCATCCGATTTTGACATTGTAACCATTTGCAATGCATGATATACAAATAATAATGAATTGTAATAATATGTGGTCACATTTTTCGTTTTTTGATTGAATTATTATTTCTACATTGATTTGATACATCCAGTATTTTCAAGTTTCTGAGGATTCTGTTGTAAAAAATATCTTTTCTCCTTTAATAATCTTAGGGACATCACTATGTATAATGAAATGTAAATAAATAATTAATTTTTGTAATATTCACTGATTTTTTGTTCACATTTTACAGACTGAAGAATTTCAAGAGAAATATATCATTCAAAACTCCTCAAATTCAAATTCCATTCAAATCATTGAGCAAAATATTTGCAAAAATGTTTAAAAAAATAACAACTATGAATCCCCTGTATTTCACCCTGTAACGACGACTCCAGAGGCGTACCTACCAAATTTTCATCTCTGGTGTCTGAAATTTAAAAGTCAATTAGTCATTATTGTTCATTGTAATACAGTAACATAAAAAAAGGAAAGTTATATTTCAACTCCATCGATTTTGTACTATATTTAAGTATTGATTGTCTTAATTGCACAATTATTGTTTTTCGTGAAAAACAATTGAATATAAAATGAAAATATTATTATCCATTCCAAGTTATTAAATCGTGAATGATTAGTAGATATGGAATTAAAGTTTCCTGCCCGCAAATACCTATTTCTTTAAATTAATTTCAAATCTTTTCTGCTTATTCTATATTTTTCAACTCATTAGGTAAGAAGTTATATAAAATTATTCCAGAATGGGATATCGATCGTTTACCAAAATTTGACTTATAATTATTTGCTATCAATAAATTAAATTGCTTTGTTTCATGGGCGTGAATCATAATAACTTCATTAAAATTCGAATTTGATATTTTCAATTCCTTCCTGTCAAAATGAATAAAACAACAAATTTTGAGTTATAATGCAACTAGATTCATCAATTCTTTAGGTTTGTATAGATTCATAAAGTTGATTCTAAAAAAGTAAACCAAAAATGTTGTTTCATTTTGTAATTTTATGAGTGGCTTCAAACGAGAAATATTTGTACTTCCCCAAATAGATATTAGATATTGTATATTTGAATGAATAAGACAGAAATAAATACTCTAGGTATCTAAACAGGAATGAAATTTCGAATTTTTTATAAAATACCTGCAATAGGATTCATTTTTTCCTCGAATGATCTAGGTATATGTTGAGCACACGATAATTATTGTTCATCAATATAAAGATCTAAAAATGTTGTTACATCTGTATATTCAAAGGCTTTGTTATTGAAACATATTGGGGTATTATTCAATATGTCAGTTGTTCTCTTTGAGATGTACACATATACGTAAATTTATTATAATTATGAGGGTCAACTCATTGGTCGTCATCCAAGATTTTATTCAAATCATTTTAAATATCATTATTGATATCGTGAAAATCCTTTGAAGTATAGATTGTTGTATCATCTGGAAATAATTTTAGTTTTCCTCTCAATTTCAAAGTAGATATTGAGTTAATGTAAATTAAAAATAAAATTGGCCCCAAAACTGACCCTTTTGTGGTATACCTCATGTAATATTCATCAAGGAACTGTACAGTATTATTCCATAAAATACCTAATTATGCCTGTCAACGGTCAAATCAATTCGGCTTCCAGAACGTATGCATGGTAGCGCTGGTATAGCGTTCGCCATTCCTTTTCTGAGTTTTCTTCTATGAATAAGCTTCTCTCTATCTCAACTGCGTAAAGCCCCAACCTCCTCAATACTGCCGCGAGCAATTCGAAGTTGTTCAGCGTGAAAACGTGGAACCCCTCGAAAAGCTCCCTGTTCGACAAAATATCCTTGGCCAGCTGGGTTGCCACATGTATTCCGTACTCGCGGACGGTCTCTTCGTTGTCCTTGTTGCGTTCCACTATGTCGAAGATGTCCTACGGGTAGAATAGGCGAGTGGACTAATTTTTTTTATTTCTCAAATGGAATCATCACTCAAATACCTTTCGATTTCATATTTCTTTGATTTTTTTGGTCGATTTTTAGGTGCTAAATTCATCAATAATGCCACGGTAATTTTCAAACGGCTAGAAATTGACCGCCAGTAAAAACTGACATAACCATTTAGTAAGTAGGGACATACCATAGCACAGTTGTTGTCATGGACTATTATTATCGAAACTATACCGTTACGGATTTTCCTTGGCACTTATCCAACTTTTTGATTCATATTTTACTGATAGGCGTCAATATCCCAGCGAGCACAAATATCCCTGGGATGTTTTGGGATGTTTTGAAAATGTTGGCATGAAGATGTAATTTTGAGACGTAATATGCACTGACCAAAGAGGTCTTTGAAGGATATTGAAGTATTGTTTTTGTTCTTCTGTGGCATTTCTTTGTTTGCCTACTGAGAGGTATCCCTGGGATGTTTTGGGATGTTCTAGAAATGTAGGCATGAGGATGTTTTTTTGAGGCGTAATATGCACTTCCCAAAGAGGTCTTATAGAAGGATATTGAAAGTATTGTTTCTGTTCTTTTGTGCCCTTTCTTTTTTCCCCACCACAACGTCTCATGCTTACGTCACAATACGACGAATTCTGATTTGTTTTCGATTTGTTCTTCTTGTTCGCAATTGGCATTCGCGTTTGCAGCGTGTCACGCTTACATCACGCTGCTAACGAACAGAAAGGAATTTGGTGAAGTTTATTGTGTTAGAAGACTTATTTAGTTTGTAATAATGACCATCAGATGCAAGATGTGTTGTTCGGTGCCTCAGTGTAATCAATATATAAAAGTACGAATTTATCAATACACAGCTTCTCCGCAGTTGCAAAATTATGCATTGTGGAGAACATTTCAAAAATTGGGAAACCTATTTCCAATTATATGTCTGTGTGTAGTAAGCACTACTCAGAAACCGATTAAGTAGGTAATCTCATATCAAGAAAATATTTTTATGTTCAATCTATTTTTAATGCATTTTTTCATTCAAGGGAAATGGAATCCTAATGCAAAAGTTGATTTTGACATAAGGCTTCAGAAAAGTACCTCGAAAATGGTTTTTTCACAGCGATTTAATGTGCGCAAGACGCGTTGAAAATGTTTTGTTGTGTCCATGAAAAGGCTTCAAAAAGAACTAGGGAGAAAGGTAGTTTTGTGACATATCAAGGACATCTCGATAATTGCCGCCTGCGGCGGACATTGGCTGTTCTATAATAGTTCTATTCATGTGTGAACAGAACATCGCAGTGGAGGTTCAATGTCTCGAAATCTCGTACTTTTAACATCTCTGAGATGTTTTTGTGCTCGCTGGGATGGTATTTTCAATGGTTTCAAGTCTTTCGAATATGCAGCAACCTCGGATGTCCCTCAAGGTAGCGACCTAGGTCCGCTACTTTTCAATGCCTTCATCAATGACATTTTCGAAGTAATTGATGTCAATTGTTTGATGTATGCAGACGATTTGAAGATATATTGTCAGATAAATGATATTGAGGATTGTGAACGGCTATATCTCTAAATCTGAAACGCGTTGAACAATGGTGTTGCAGTAACAAATTACCTTTGAACGCTAGCAAATGTAATGTGATGACATAAACACTTATAAATCAACTCATTTTATTTCCGTATGATATTAGTATACAATAGTTCAACATCCGCCCACATTTACCGATTTAGGTGTCACCTTTGACACAAAACTTTCATTCACACTGCATATTGAAGCTACTTTGTCTCTAGATATTTTTCTGATTCAGCCACATCAACAACATTATATTATGCCTTCGTCAGATCAAAACTGGAATATGCATCTTCAATTTGGAACCCGTCTCATCAGCTGTATATAGAGAAAGTTGAATCAGTACAACGTCGTTTCCTAAAACTTCTTTCCTATAGATCTAATGATATATATCCACCAATCGGGTTTCCTCATGATACATTATTAGCTAGACATGCTATGAAAAGCCTAACCTAACCTGACTCATTTTGACGATATATTTAAAGAGATATTGAAAAACAAAATACATTCTCATGTCACTTTTCGAGCTCTAAGCTCTACAAAACAGCGTTGAAAGATTTTCCGTACAACGTTTCGGTTCGGAGAAACCGTCATCAAAACTTTACCTCATGATATACATCCTTATCTTGGACACACTGCATAAAGTCGAAATGACGTCTTATTTGGTTATTGTTTGAGAGTCGTCAAAAATTTATCAAGGATCTACATATGTATATACGATTATACAGGGTTTTTCAACGAAAACATGATTTCCACTATGATTAGAAAACCGAATCCTCTATCAGAATTTGCTAGAATTCCCATACCAATTGAAAGTTTTAGTTGGAAGACTCTGATACCGACTAATCATCAGAGACGATTCGCTTCTCATTTTTTGTACTGATAAAAAATAATGGATTGAGTATCGGTGAGATGTAAGCCGGACCAAAAGTAGGTTGATAGCAATGCAAAAGATAGACGTATTATTCATGTAATTCTTGTCACTCAACAGGAAATCAAATATCACATAAAATTGACGATACATCACTGCATCGTCATAGAAGTCGGAGCTGGGCAAATACTCTGATCAGAGATTCGCAGGAATGGCACTGGAATCTAGTAGGTATTTATCAGTAACGACTCATAATGACAATAGGTCCATATTCACATTTAACAGAACTAAGATGATTGAAATGTTCTGCTAGTGACGAAAACAATTTAATATAAACCGTACTAGTAATAGTTATTTATTATACAAGGGAAAAAGTAGTAGATTTTAGCTCCAGGTTGTGTTGTCAAAGGGCGACAAAAAACCTTGAGCTAAAATCTAATATTTTTCCCGTGTATAATACACTATATTTTTCTGTGACAGAAGAAAGGACGAATCAAAATTGAGAAGATATTACATTATTTTGAAATCTGAAAATTATCGACGTGAAATTTTAAGGTTTTAACAGTAGGGACACCTTCTTTGTAGGCATCTTTATCATTCTTTTGAAGTAATCAAATATCTGATGTCACTTCTGTCAGTCTAATTCTGTGATTTGATTTAAAAAAATTGCGAATTTAGTGGTTGTTTAGTATACGTAACCGCAAAGTCGAATGGAAGATAAAAGGACTTGCAGTTCTTTCTGGGATACGGTATTATTGACTCATTTCTCGGAGCTATAGCACAACAAAAGCCATCAACAGTGTATATATATATATATATGATATATATCCGGGAAAAAAGTACTCACTTTTTTCCCACGGGAAAAAAGCGATTTATGAAAAGTGACATTTCATAACCTGCCAACAGAGATGAAATGCCTAACTTATTTCCAGTTACAGAGAAAAGTATATTATTACCATGGGACCTTATACCCCTCTGCTGAAGCCTCGGTTTCTAATCTTGGTCCTTGGGTAATAATGATATATTTCACTACCTTGTGGTATAAATAACTATTAATGCGCATTTGTTCTATACCCGCTCCAACACACTGTCCTCAAACGAGGACGGTGGACTTTAATGGGTTAATAAATGATTAACTACGCATTTATGAGTAGAGTAGAGTATATTTAGAGTAGAGTATATTTATTTGACTACGTTACAATGCATGTTTGTATGGCTTACCTGTGGGATAGAAATGCCGCAAAATTTCGACATGGCCTTCAAAGTCTTGAAAGAACTGATTATGAAGATTCCTGGTGTGATGGGAACATGGATCCCCTTCGATCTGCATCGTTTCACGAAAGTCGTGAGTCGTTCTAGGGTGTAGCACGCTTGGGTTATGATGAAGTCTGCTCCACACGAAACCTGAAAATAAATAGCAATTAATATTACCAGTTGCATTCGATTTTATACGTCCATGGTCCATGGATTCGACCTTTATGCCATTTTAACCAGACCGTTGATTGATACAGGGTGAGTCATGAGGAACTGTACAAACTCCTACCACGAATAGAGTTCCCTGAGGGGAATACCTAATGTATACATCAGAAAGTGTCTTCTTCACTTCTATTCCCATATAAAGGGTGAATTATGAGATTTGGCAAAAACATCTTTTGGTCATAAAACTTTCCAACAACTTCATCGATTCGTCTGAATTTTTCACGGCATATTTTTTATATTTTTTTATCGTTTGGAGCGCACGAAAGGAAATTCCTATAATGTTCAAAGAACATCGTGCGTTCCCAGGAAGGATAGGGACAGGAGGTAGGTATTGGAATTTTTTTTGAACTTCTGGAGATTATAATTATGTTGTTGGGAATACTTCCTCAGGCAATGAATTCCAGAGCCTTTCCGTTCTATGGATGAAGGAGTTTTAATAAAGTGCTACCATCTAATCGACTGACTTATTCAGAATCGGGAAAATCCAAGACCGTTCTTGAAGAATCTTGATAGTTCAGTTTATAGCAAAAAGTTCATCCTGTATATCGTTTTTGTAAGATGTGACAGGGAATTTTCAAAGGTCACAAACAAACATCAAACCTAAAATACTCCAAATTTTCCTCACACTTTCATTGCAGTTTGAAAAGAACTATGAATTTTATGAGAAAAAACGAAAATTTTGGCAAATAAAGTATTTATTTTGAAATTAATACTTCGCAACCCATAAATTTTACGAATAAAAGTGGGACTTACAATTTCAATGCTTCACCTCAATGGAAATCAACATATTATTTTATTTTCATTCATTTCACCCTGTATAACGATTCTACGATTCTCGTGTATCTTCAGTATCATCAAATTCTCTCGTCGGTTCAGTAGGGATCATGAACGATGTTCTTTTTTATCAACGAGAGGGATGTATTTACCCTTGTTGATATTTTGTTAATATTTAATGTATTTTTCGATCAACAAAGAAAAAGTTGAAATAAAGCAGAGTAAAATAAATATTGTTTGTATATCTAATAGAAAACAACTACTTTTCTGGCTAATACCACAGAATATCTGTTATGTATCGAAGAATAATATTTACCTATCTAATTCTGAGGAAATATATTATTCTCAACTGCGTACGCTGTTCTTTGTATAGCATTTATCGAGAAATAGTTCTCGCTATTTATCATTAACTAGATTAAATTGGAATTGAATTGATGAAAATATGTTTTTGATGGAGATATTTGACTCACTGAAAAACAATTATATGGCGGGTATAAGTTTGAACGGGCCCCCTCTACAGAGTGTTTCCTAACTACGGTTCCTAACTGCAGATGGTGATTCATTAGGTCATTTCAAGAAGAAAAGTTCCTATTAACATATGTCGGGAATTGCATTGTTTCTGAGATACAGGGCGATGGAATAATGAAGAAAAAAACGGTAACTACAAAATATCATGAATATCCTGGAACCGATTTGATTGAAATATGGTACTTTAAATTGAACTAATAAGGAGCTTATTTAGCCCTATTTAGATTGAAATTATGACCTAACAAATCACCCCCTGCAGTTAGGAACCATAGACATAGTTAGGAAACATCCTGTATATCTCAGCTATTAGTCGTGCGATTATTACCAAATTCGAACCAGTATGACTATCAATATGATCAGTTCTTCAGAGACGTACATCCTTTTACACAGTGCCGTACTTTTTCATTGAAATGAGAAGAGGTCGATTTTTATGAAATCATATACCTACCTAAGGGATTTTTTTGCAAGAAAATTTTGGAACGGTCAATGGCTCCGGTAGGTAGAAAATCATTGATCTTGATTTCCCACAAAGAAGAAATATGTTGGTATTGTTTTAAATTTCTTTGGTTTTTGTTTTCTTAGTCCCTAGTGGCAGTCGAGTGGGCTAGGTACGTAGTTTGTGGGAAAAATCTCCAGTTCTCTGAACTTTCATAGCGTCGTATACACATCTTTGGTGCCCAATGATAGTTTCAATATAAAAATATGCTCATGATATGGTGCCATGGCCTCTACTTCCATCTTACATGAGCAATGATAAAATATCATCTGCTTTTATAGCGTCGTATAAATTATCTGACCTCTATATACTAATCTAATACCTAATGAAAACTACATCTATACCAAGATGATACCTGTCAAAAACTACGTACCTGACTTGTGTAATTCTACAACCTATCCTACCTTCATTTCTAAATAGTTATAATCTTCTTCTTGATTCTCAGATTTTGGTTGTTTTTCTGGATAGCCAGCTACGCCGATAACGAAATAATGCCCGTATTTCTCTTGAATGAATTTCACCAAATGTGATGCGTACGGAAAATCACATTTCGCGTCATCTTTCTCCAAAAAGTGTGAAGGATCTGCAAAAAACGATTTTATTCGTACATTTGTGAATATTTTTCGAAAAAATAATTGAATACGCATGTGAAGGATCTGCAAAAAACGATTTTATTCGTACATTTGTGAATATTTTTCGAAAAAATAATTGAATACGCATGTAAAGGATCTGCAAAAAACGATTTTATTCGTACATTTGTGAATATTTTTCGAAAAAATAATTGAATACGCATACATCATTTCATATGAGTAAAAATTCTAATAATATCTGAATACTTACTATAATATTTTTCTTAATATTCGCCTTTTTATAGAAAATTTCCATTTTGGATAGTACAATTATTATGTGGAGGCGATGATTCGAAAAATAGCAAATATAGTATTTTGATTAATATTTTTCAACAGGATATAAGATGATGAATAAGAAAAAAATTCAAAGATTCGACAAACAATCAATCCCTAAATTTCTTACCTATCTGATAAGATTTTTTTCTCAGAACTTGCAGTAATTTGAAAAATTGCAACATGTCAGTTGCAGTAATCCGAATAAATCTTATTCCTGCAACTTAAATTGCAGTAATAATGATTTTTTTAAATGGATCCTGTATTTCATGGCATTTACAGATTTTCTCTGAAGAGCTGATTCCATTCACCCTTGGGGTCTAGCGGGAACGCTTACAGAGATATATAGGGTGTTCAAAATCGACATTCAACTTTAGGATTTTTTCTCTCTAAACTATTCATTATTGGTCAAAACAGCTTTCATGACCCTGCCTCAACCTTTGGTTTTCTATCTACTGACATTCAATAATTGGAACAGACACAGGGTGATCAGAATTCTGAATCATGAGCCACCCTGTATTATACCAATTAAATGTCAGTAGATAGTGAATCAAGAGTTAAGATGATTTTTCAAATTTTGAAATCGGGTCAAAAATAAGTGAGCTAGAGGAAGGGACATTTATGGTGAATCACCCTGTACATACGTTGTAGCCTGATTCGAATAACTGCAAGTTGTACAGGGTGATTCACCATAAATGTTCCCCCCTCTAGTTCACTCATTTTTGAACCGATTCCAAAAGATGAAGAATCAATTGAAATAATTTTTGATAATTTGTTTCCCCGCTCCATTTGAAAATACAGAGTGTTCCGAACAAACTATCTACAGGGTACCAGTTGATTTTTTTAAATGGAACAACCCTGTATTTTATGACATGACAATCAGTTCAAAAATAAGTGAGCTAGAGGGAGGGGCAGTTATGGTGAATCACCCTGTACGTTGTAGCCTGATTCGAATTACTGCAAGTTGTACTTTGTAGCCTGATTCGAATTACTGCAAGAAGTTGTACCTCTACAGTCACAATTTTCAATGTAATTCAAGCTCAATTTTTCCTCCTGAAAACCCACCCATCCAGTTGAAAACCTACCTCCTTGCAACACCAACAAATTCCTAACCCCCAAACGCTTCACCTCATCCAGAATCTCCACCACTTGCCCCTCATTCAGATTCCTTCCCGCCAGATGCAACAACACCTCGTGACCTTGTTCCCGCAGCTGCCCGGCCAATCGGACGGCAGGCATCCCCTCTTCCACACTCTGCGCATGCCACGTGACCGAACATAGCCTCGGCGCCATTTTCAACAAAAGAGTCGCGTCTAGAGCTCTGTTCGGGCACACTTCGACGGAGAAAAAATCGTTACGCAGTCTGAGGCTTCTCTCTCTGTCTAGATGGTTCAGGTCTGGCGGGTTTGTAGGCGCGTATGTCGTTGTTGAGGTTGAGGCGGTGTCAACGATAAGAGTTTCTCGCATGGTTTCGGTTCGCGGAATGTTAGACTGAACGATTTCAACGTTGACCTTTTGTTATTGACACTGGCGATCTGGTTTATTGAAGTAGATTAGATTATAGGTCGTTGTATTTACAAGGTGTCCCAGAACAACGTACCGTTAATTCTACAGGGTGAACGAGAGACAAAAATAGACTTCGCTATGAAAATGCACCATTGCGCCGTGAGAGGCAGTTGAAGGATAATTTTATTTCCAGATTTTCTTGTATATTTCAAAATCTTTTGGAGGTACTGTTCTGGAATTCTCAGGAGTCTCCTGAAACAAGTCTATTGATCTCAATTTGCCACATTCACATCACATATACAGGGTGATCCAAGTATATGAGTTATTTTCCATTTTACGGGAGCATCAATTCAATACAAATTCTATATGCGATATATATTCTTGGAGTCAGCTTTCCATGGGGATTCCGAGAATTGGATGATATATAGGGTTCTCCATTCGAGCGAATTGTCTAGGACGTCTTTACTCAAACTTGGATTACACCGTAGGTATATTTAGTTTTGTATTGATAAAGTTGAGATAAGAAGTCGACGCACTTCATACAGGGTCCAGCCGATTTCATAGGGACAGTAAGAATTTAGTATTGATATTTCCTGATCACATATAGCACCCATGAGAAGAACGAAAGTTGCTTGGTAGATCTTCGAAAATAATGAAGATAATCAATCCCAACTTCTGTGCCATGATATATTATTACCTGTTTACGCAAAATTTCAAATTTATTGTTCAAATATCAAATAAGAAATTGTTTTTTTTTCAAAATATTTCAGGAACGCGTAAAATTTCAGTTCACAAGACGGCATATTGTCTGATTTGTCAGCTTTATATCTCTTACCGATTTGGAAATAGTAGATAATACTGTCCCTATGAAATCAGCAGGACCCTCTATACTGGTATCATTTAGGCAGTGAACATTGAACGAACAATTTGTTTCACTTGAACGAATTGCTGCTTTCTTATGAATTGAACACAGAGACAGACTTACTAGAGTGATATTCTTACTTTCTTTCGAATAGAGGTCATTCCTTCCATCTTTAACGATTGATGGCGAAGTGAGTAGAGTCGAAGAATTCAGATTTAACCAGTGTTGCCAACTCGATTGGTCGAGTCAATTAATAGCTAGTTCTAGCACTTTCATAATCCTGCTGACTGCTGAAAAGCTGATACATTTCTTCTAGCTATTGATTGAAGAGTTGAACGAGGTGTTGTTTGCACCTATGTAAATTTTTTTTTCGGAAAACGTCCGGAATGCTCACTGCCCGGAAGCTTTTTCTTGAGAAAGTAGCATTATACCGGCCATTGTCCATAGGAAATTTCCAATGTAACAGTTAGTAGGTATAGGTATTCTTTTTTTTATGTTCTGGTTCCCACGAAAAGGGATATCCTGTAATGTTCAGAGAACATCGTGAGAACCAAGGGAAATAAGGTAGGAATACCTATTCTTAAATTTCTGGAGGTTATATGCCTCGGAGAACACCTTCCTTGGCAATGTGTTCCAGAGCCTTGGTGTTCGTTGAATGAACGAGTCTTTGGAAAGAGATGTTCTGCAGGTCTCCAAAGTGACCATGAAGGGGTGCGAAGCCTCAATAACTCGATGGATTAATCCGTGTTGATATTTCAGAAGAGCATCGTCCATGAAAATATATATAAAATAGAGCCAGATCGCCAACTTTTATACGGTGTTCGAGAGAAGTGAGTGAGTTTGTGCGCGAGGCATCACCCACGAGACGAATTACCCTTTTTTGGACAGAATCCAACAGTTTCAGAGTATGTTTGGTTGCTGCACCATGAATATCGGAACAGTATTCCAGGACAGGTCGGATCTGTGCCTTATAGATCATCAGCAGCTGACTGGAAGTGAAATAGCTCCTGGCCCGAAACAGAAAACCAAGTTTTTGGGATGCACTTTTAGCAATTGATCTCACGTGATTTTCCCAAGAAAGGTTATTGCTGATAATAATAATACCAAGCAAGCATCGGAATGGATGTCTTCAAAGGTATGGTTACCCCTGACAAGCTTATGTTGGGCACAGTGAGATCGGCTTTTCCAGAGAAAAAGCATGCTTGTGTTTTGTTTGCATTGAAATCTACCAAGTTATTGGATCCCCATTCGAGAATTGTTGCCAATTCCATATTTATGTTGTCAACATTTCTTCCTCGTTCGTTTCTGATTTGCCTGACTGGTATTGGAGCCCTGGAAGAGAAGGCGGTATGGAGGGTACTATATCATCCGCGAAGCTGTCTACTGGATATGAAGTTGCTTCCAACAAATCGTTGATATGGAGTAGAAATACTATTGTTGCTAGAATTGATCCTTGCGGAACACCAGCATTTATGACAAGAGAGTTAGATGAAACTCCGTCGACCACTACCTGGAGAGACCTGTTTGAGAGAAAACTAGCTAGCAGAGAACATATAGCTGAGGAGGCAAGCCATATGATGGAAGCTTGCCGAGGAGTCCGTGGTGCCAGACTCGATCTAATGCCTTGGAGATATCAAGTGCCACGGCTAAGGTTTCACCATATTTTTCAATAGATTGATGTCTAATGACGAAATAAGCCATATTGCCTATCGTTGATAATACCTGAATGTTCCAGGTACTCCATGAGCTCGATGTTGATAGCTTTCTCCATGATCTTCGAAATAACAGATAGCAGTCCGATCGGTCTGTAGTTGCTAGGTAGGGTCTTTTTGCCTTTTTCAGGAACTGGTTGTACTCTTGCAATTTTCGAGTTGGACGGGAATATCCACAATTTGTAAGAGTAGTTGAACAACTTGCAGAGAACAGGTGTTAGTTCGGGAGCACATTCCTTGAGAACAATTGGTGGAATTCCGTTTGGAGCCACAAGCTTTGTTGGTGTTAGACCCAATAAAATATTCATTCTGTTCAAATTTCAGTATTTGATACAAATGAGAATCATTAAAGAAGAAAGTGTATTCTACAAAGAAATATAATATGGAAAGGTGTCTCATTGATTTGTTATTTTATATGGTTGCCGAAAAATTAGTGTACGCAACACGTCCAAAAATTTTTTTCTTGGACTCGCAGACTTCCAGGACTCGCCTAAGGCTCTGCCAAGAATTTTGTCTACTCGTCCAAGAAACAGTATTTTCCGGACGTAAATTACTATTTTGTGTTACTTATCGATGAATCAATTTCACATCACATTTCGATCAGAACTTGTCAATTTTTTTCAAATTGAATTCTTATGGGCCACCTTCATGTCTCTCTAGAGAGTCTAGAAGCATTAAGAAAAAAAGTAAGTATCTTATTTGTATTTCGGTGCAGTAACAAATTGTATACATTCAAAAATCAGCTTCTACAGGGTGGGCCACCAGTAACGCCTCGGTCTCTAGAAGGCTAACCACTTATCTTCTTGGAATTCTTCCTCTCTAGGAAGTTGCATGTCAACTTAGGCTACCATTTAAAATTATTTCGAAACATACAGGGTGTCCCCAAAAACCATAAAACACTGAAGTTAAACTTTTTCCTATCGAACACCCTATATATTATTTCATTTTGAGATTCTCCCTGATGAGCTGATTTCAACGACCCATCATACTTGGGGTCTAGCAGTTATAATTACTGAAATATAGGGTGTGAAAAATCGAGATTTTCCAAGTTCAAGAATTGTTTGTGTCGAAACTATTCATAATTGGTCAAAACGGCTTACATGTCCATATCTCAACTTTTGATTAACTATCTACTGATATTTAATTGGGACATATACCGGGTGATCAAGATTCTGAATTCTGCACCACCCTGTATTTGTTTCAATTGAATGTCGGTAGATAGTTGATCAAAAGTTGAGATAGGGACATGTGAGCCGTTTTGACCAATTATGAATAGTTTCGACACAAAAAATTCTTGAACTTGGAAAATCTCGATTTCTCACACCCTATATCTCAGTAATTATAACTGCTAGACCCCCAGTATGATGGGTCGTTGAAATCAGCTCATCAGGGAGAATCTCAAAATGAAATAATATATAGGGTGTTCGATAGAAAAAAGTTTAACTTCAGTGTTTTATGGTTTTTGGGGACACCCTGTATGTTTCGAAATATTTTTAAATGGTAGCCTATGTTGACATGCAACTTCCTAGAGAGGAAGAATTCCAAGAAGATAAGTGGTTAGCCTTCTAGAGACCGAGGCGTTACTGGTGGCCCACCCTGAATAGTTCATGAATTTCGTTGCAGTTCGAATAAATTCAATTTGTTTGGAAACAAATACATTTGACATGAAGATTGTATTTGTTTTGACCTGCTGAACTTGAATATAAATGATTGACTTTGCTGAATTTTCCAAAAGAACCCGAAATCCGCCATCATGGAATGCAATGTGATCAAATCCGACATGGTAGCTTATATTAAAAAAAAAACCGCTTACCAATGCTGCAGTTATAGTGGTGCCCCGATACCCTGTGTCACCCGGTATATCATGGTTAACGAATTGACCCTGAAAAAATAACAACTAACGAACCAAATCCATGGGTTATGATTGTAGTTATAAGTACATACCTATACTCGGTATGTTATTCTCTTCAATGATTCAGAAGAAAACAAGAAAATTTCCCCGTAACCAACCCATCAAAATAATTATATAGCAAGGTATGCATATTCCAGAATGGTCAACAAGATTATGAAAAACAACAAGATTCATATCAGTCGAGTTTCTTCTTGTGTTCCTTCAAGTATAGGTACCCAAATAGTCCCTACCTATGTATAGAATCCAAAAAAATGGCCCGTTTTATGGGACACTCAATCTTCTGAAACGTGTCTACGTTTACTATGATGATCAAATGAAGGGACCCTCTTTGAAATTATTCATTTTCTTCAGCGTTGTGGTGAGAATGATGGCGATCTTTATTTTCGTCATTCTGTGTATGGTACATTTCATTGTTGGTTACAAAGTTGAGTATTTCAATATTTTATCTGAAAATGGCGTAAATACATCATACAAGTTCGTGTTATTCATGGTTGAGTTCACATGTTATATTACTAAATGGGATAGGTCCATTATCCTTATTCATTACTCTATTACTATTCTTGAATATCTCTCAGCTTTCCAATGCATATAATTTTCTAACATGATTAACTTGCTTAACTAATTTGAGGTCATCAATATGTGTGTTATGATTGTGATTGACCATGTGTTCGGCTATATACACACGATTTATCTAACCTACCATATTTCAAATGTGCTAAGTGTTCTTTGAACCTTGTTTTTATGGGACGCCTGGTTTGACCTATATATGTTTTATCACAATCATTACCACTTACTTCTCAAGTGTCCACCTTATCTTTTGGATTACTTTATATTGCCTAACTTTGACCCAGACTGAAACGCTTTCAAAACCTAAGTCTTTGAAAACCTTACCAAGTCCTCTTGTCTACTTGGGATTGAAAGGGATTGGGATTTTTCTCGAATTGTTTCTATCCGCTTGAAAAGTCGTAGAATTCCTTAGTGATAACTTGAATGTATGTCTACGTATTAATTTATCTACTATTTTGATATCATAACCATTGACGCCAGCCACTTTATACACAACACTCCTTTCAACATCAAATCTTTATTTGCTCAGAAGAATCAAAACTAGGTAGTCTATGTACTAGGAAGTTTGAACTTGCCATTTTGTGTTGAAAACAGTGATTGGAGTCATTAGTTATACGAATCTAAGTGTGTTAGTTTCTTTCCTAAAAACATCAAATTCTGAATTGTTTTCTCCATTTTTGATCACAAGAACATCAAAGAATGGTAATTGACTGTTGTTTTCGCATTCAAAAGTGAATTTGATAGAGGGGAAGCAATTGTTCAATTGTGAAATGAAGTTATCTATATCTGTGATTTTTGTATCAAAAATGGCACTAACTAGCGATTTATGACTAGGGTAAACTGTCCTACAGTGAGCCACTTCTGTTTATAATGAACGCCATTAAAAAAAAAACAATTTATTTTTTCCAAGTACTTTAGGGCATCGGCAACAAAACCATAGCCAGAGCTATTTTCTCAATCAACAAAGTGAATTATAATATTCCTTTCAAAGCATGTAAATTGGTTCACTATGTACCGTCTTATGGAAACAGTGAATCAGTTGATGAAGTCACAGTGAATCATTAAAACCAAACAAGGAAAATAAAATTTCGAAACAATACAGAAACTGAAAAATATGTGACAGTTCAAAGAGAAAGTAGTAAGATGAATGAAGGAATAATTCGCAACTTTCATAGATATTCACTTCAGCTTTTCCAATTTTAGTTCAGAAATGGTCGATTGTATTTCCCAATAATTGTCATTTGTATTTGAAATTAGTCAATTTAATTTCGAGAAGTATCAAATGTATTTCAGAGTTATTGATTCAATTTCAAAATACGTCAATTGTACATTCAATTTATTCTTTTCAATTTCAAAAACCATCAGCTGTATTTCAAAATTATAAAATAAATTTCGAAAACTAACACTTCAAATTCCAAAATAGTCATTTGTATTTCAAAAAATATCAAAGTAATTTATAATGCACCATTTGAATTTCAAAACTGAGAAAGCACATGCAAAGGTGATATTGTCATTCGAACACCTGTGATTGGAACGCTTCTGGCTTCTGGATACTGTCATTGTGACATCATCAATAAAAAGATTAGTTTTGGAAATGAAATGATGTATTTTGAAATTGAAATGACTATTTTGAAAAACAGTTGATGTATTTTGGGATTGATTTGATAATTTTGAAATACATTTGATACTTTTGGATATCAAAATGATTGATTTGAAATATAATTGATACTTTTTGCAATCAACTTGAAGCTTTTTGAACTTCTTGAACTTTGAGAAGGTTTAAATGCGTATTATAGTACCTACACAGTGAACCAGTTAATACACGTTGAATCATATGGTCACTGTGTACTGGTTATGGTTCACCGCAACTTGTGAAAAATCATAACGTGAACTGTGTAATGAATTTTTGTTCACCTACCTTAGATCACTATCTCACTCACTCCGTGTTCTGGGATGAACTAAAAGACGGAGACGGTTGATGGTGACGTGATAGATCGTGCCACGTACATCAACGTTTCCCTCTAAATAGTAGTAGGTATAAAATAAAAAATGGTTCACTGTGTACGGCGGTTCACTGTGGGACAGTTCACCCTACCCATAACTCGAGAATTTATTAGTTCCTGATCTGTTTTTTAGGCAACCTGAAAATATCTTATGACAAAGATATAGCCATGGCTATTGGAAGTTTGGGTGCTAATCTCATCCCTGTATTTTTCTGGATCAATCGTAAACGTTGGTCCAGATTTTTCATGGAAATAACCGATTTAAATAGATTCGGAGAACCACCCGAGTTCGTTAAAGTCCAGACATTAGCTAACAAGATAGCTCGCTCATGTTTTTGGTAAATGATTTTCCGCTATAACACGTATTCCTCCATACCAATGGTCACGCTAAGAAAACTGTATTTTATCTACGTTTTCTATTGTAGTTGATGAAAAATGAAGATTGCACACTGAGAATCGAAAACTGTATACCTATTGTACTGGTATTCAATGGTAAAAGTAGTACAATTATTGATGAAATATTGAGAATTTATAGAAAAGAGCAATTTATAAATTTCTCACCATATGAACTAAACTACGCAACACTAATTTGGTCACACCCCAAAATTTTGTCCCTTTTAAAATATGAATAACTTTTCGGTTTTGAATAATTTGAATTCGGATTACACTGTTCGCTAGCTCAGTCTTTCAGCTATAATCTCGTACTTCTTTGAAACATGAGGGTCTTCATATAAAATCGCTACAAGGTGTCACCTGGAACTGTGAAAAATTTCGGAATTTTCAGAAAGATCTCAAATGAACAAAAACTTTTTTTTTTCATCTTCGACAGCAGAGGCGTGAAGATGATCTCATTACCTAAGGACATTTTTGTCTTTTATTTACAGTGATCTCAAAAAAATTTACTTTCTGGTTTTGCAGTCATAACTTTTTTCCTTGTCGACCGGTTTTTAAAATCTCATTTTGAAGCTGAAACTTCAGATGAAGATCAGAATTGACTAAAGATCAACATTTTACAGTGTTTCTCACTTGTAATGGAATCACCCCTGTATGTTTCGTAATCGTTGAGTTAGGATTCTGGAATTCTGGAATTCTAACAACATATCGACTTTTTCGTTTCTTGAATACATTTTCCGTCTCTATTGATATAAAATGCAATTTTAATCAACACACGAATGAAGAAGAAACATTATTGATGCAATCGATTAACTGTCAAACACATAAAACATTTTGTGTAGGTACACCGCCTACTAAGTGAAATAATTATGAAAAAAATAGACTGATAGCCCTGTGGATCATCGTATAAAAGGAACAATTTTAGTTTTATTATGTCAAATGGGAAGATCATGTGATAGGTACATGGCGAAAATGAAAGACAGATAGTTTCTGTACGAGTAGCGAAAAAATATGTTCCTATCTTAGATTCCTCAATATCATGAGTTATTTTCGAAGGTTTTCATCTTGACTCAAACAAGCTATTGACAACCTGCAGACATTGATCAGAATATCAAAACATTTTGAATAATATCGGTTTACTAATGATATTTAAATTTCAAAGCCTACCTAGTGTCGATATATCATCGAAATCATGTCACAGCCAACTTATTCTTTTTGAATAAAAAGCAATTCAACAGCGAATTAAGAAATAAATGCCACTTTGTGATACATGGTTGGATAGAGAATTTCAAGGCGAAAAAGATAGACTGAAGGGTACAGAAGAGAGATTGCTGCGATTTCTGGCGTTCTACGGCTGCCTCAGAATCAATATTTTTCGAAAACTGACATTTATATAACCTCAATAAAGTTACAATATTTGAAATCAAAAAACCAGTTTATGTCAAATTTTCAGGTTTACGATGCTTTTTTTTAAATTTACTAGTATTAAATTCTGAATGCCAATAAACAAATCTTCAACTTTATAGCTATTTAGTAAAACATATTCAATCACCCTGTACTCCATGTTAATTGAATTGATGCAGTGATACAAATCCATATGAAAAAAAGGCTTTTTGAACATTGAATAATTGATCCAAGTGATGTTTAACTCGATTCACATTCGGAATGACCTTTTGAAGAAGATACATTTTGTTAATTTTCATACTTTGGCGAAGGAGCAAAGATACTTCGCCAATATTTAAAAAATCTGAATTCCAATAAACAAATCTTCAACTTTATAGCTATTGAGTAAAACATCTGCAATCACCCTGTACTCCATGTTAATTCGACTGATGCGGTGATACAAATTCATATGAAAAAAGGCAGTTTGAACATTGAATAATTGATCCAAGTGATGTTTAACTCGATTCACATTCGGAATGACCTTTTGAAGAAGATACATTTTGTTAATTTTCATACTTTGGCGAAGGAGCAAAGATACTTCGCCAATATTAAAAAATGCACTAATGTAGTTTCTAGACAACGCTTTCGACTATTTCGATCAACATTGTCGAATACCTAAAATCCTAAAATATCATAATTCATGAGCTAACTATGAATGAGAAAACATATCACGTATCAATGATCACTAATTTACCAAACAATATCATTGATGAACTCTGGTATCACTTTCCTGGCTATTTGTCATGTCGAACATTGAATTATATCTGTTGAACATCCAGAAGGAGAACATGAAAATGAAAATTTTCTGACTTTGAGATTTGACATTCTCTCTCAAATTGGATAAATAATATGATGTATAATGATATAATAGTATAACTTAACCAATATATCCAGTATTGAACGAATTGCATAGTATCTACACTGTTAGACCAGGAGCTAGTGACAGGTGACATTCTCCCATTTTACACTGCATGTCTTTTTGAGGCTTCATAATTGATTCCAAAATATGAAAAGTTGACGGGTTTCACGTGTGTTTTTCGAAAGGAAGAGCGCTTTTCTTTTTGTGAAAGGTTTTCGTGTTATTCCGAAATATTATACTGCCTATCTAATAATTGATGGTATGCAATCCGCAGCGGCCGAAACAGTTCAAAAGGGTTACGAAAAACCGCATACCAATGTGAAGCATTGAAGTTTTAGTAACGAAAAATTGACATGTGCAATGACCGATGTTGGGAAATTTTGAGATAACTGTAAAAATTGGATACAGGTTTTCCGTGATTTCAAAGTGCATGCCATTAGGAAGAAACTCCATTTGTATAATTAATTAATAGTAAGTCATTTTGCAAAATAGAGGCATGTATAATGAAAGTGGTGATTTTTGCAACTTTGGAACCTGTATTGTTACAGTTTTACCGGATATTTCCTCCGTTGGTCAGACGAGGGGCGCATGCCAATTTTTTCAGAGTGTTTGTGTTATCGAAGCTCCAATTCTTCACATCGGCATGTTTGAACTTCCGCGTATATCATAACGGCAGGCAGTATAATATTGCGTGAAAACACGAAAATTCTTCACAAAAAGAGAAGCGCTCTTCCTTATGAAGTACACACGGTCAGGAACTTGTCTAGTTCTTATAGTTTGGTGTTAATCATAAAACCTTAAAAAGCATGAAGTGTGAAATGGGAGACCGTCACCTTTCACCAGCAAGGTCACCAGCTCCTGGCCTATATGTCATTTTTTTTCATGGAAGGTACTGTGAGGCTGCTATAATCACATACACCATCGCCTCAATTTTCGATAGTAATTGTCAGGACAAAAGGATGTGTGGAACTCATGCACCCATATGGGTACCATTCGATTCAACCCCTATCAAAGTAAAAGGTGAGTTTCACAGAGCATGGTTCCTAGGAATCGGTAGCTTCTGAATTGTAGAAACCAAGAAACATGTTAAAATATTCTTACTGCCTGAGCATTGTCGTCCTAGATGGAAACCTAATTAGTAGTAGCCAAGAAATATAATATTGTCTGAATCAATACAAAAAGCTCACAAGTCATTTCCACACAATGTTCATATAATGAACAACAATGGTAGATTTTGGAAGAAAAACAACTACTTTCCTGCTATTCTTTCCTGAATGCCTATTGAAGAAAAAAGTGCTTTGAGAAAGTTTTCACTAAAACTAATTATTTTTGTTGAGGCAGTTATGGGGCATTGAAGAAATCATCGGAATTCGAGAAAAGCCCTTTGGCGCCAGTGGCTTCCTCAATAAATTCGAGCTCCAGACACCTTGGTAAATTTTTTTCCATCTCTTCAAATAAGGGGTGTTTCCATAAGAACGCGTCCAGTTTGGGACACCCTGTACAATGCACAAAAATGCAGCGGGAAACGAAGGAATCCGGTTGGTACATTATGATTCAAAAGTAAGTACCTACTATAGTCACTCACATATAGTTTTCATTTTGAAATTTGGTAATTTATCTGATTTCTCATCGGAATTCCTTCTGCGATAGGAGCTAATAGAAATACTCGTGGAATTTCTACAATAATGCAAGACGATTGGATTCATGCAATCAAACGGGAGGACTGGTCTGACATGCTGACGAAATATGATGGTGTGTGTTGAAGACATTTTCAATCTATTAGCATCATTAGCTTCTATTGCAGAAGTGCGGCAGAAGGAATTTTAAGAAAAAATAACAATATTTCATATATCGAAGACTGGAACCTTTGGCACGATAATACACTACACTGTTTTACCACTAACCAAACCGATTTTTTAACGCCTCGACACGTGTTTCGCTAACTATGTTAGCGAAACACGTGTCGAGGCGTTAAAAAATCGGTTTGGTTAGTGGTAAAACAGTGTAGTGTACAATATTTCATGATGAAAAGTATGTGAGATTACTATTTACCTGAAGAAATAATATTCCTTCGTCACTCGCTGCAATTTTTGTGCATTGTACAACAGCACAATAAGAAGGTATGCTTGAATTAATGAATAACGCAAAAAACACGATTCGTATGCCAAAATATTGTGGAAAACTATTTCAATCCTTCCTTTGTAAACAAATGGAAAGAGTGACAATATTTTACAGAAAAGTGAGGTAGTGTTTCAATATTTTACCCCCAGGGTCCGTCATCGTGCATGCCACCTATAACTTAGTTCGGAATAGAGATTAATGGCTTACTGAAAATGTGGCCAATAAAGGCGATTTTCGCAATAATTTTTTTATTTTTTCAATGAACAGACAATCAATCATACCTCTCGCCCACTAATTAGGTATTCATCAAAACATTGGCAGGATAATCTTGAGATTATTCAGTTTTCAGTTTATCGCACCTTATTTGACCTTATCACCTAGATCACCCGGTATGCGTATTGCGAAAAGCGTACCTACTCAATTGGTCACCAAGACGTAATAAGGGGATATGAGGAAGGAAAATACCATTTCTGTATGAAAAAGGATACTACTAGACCTAACTCTGACTAAATGAACCTTTTTTCTAAAAATTTTATTGTTCGAAAAATTACTAGAGTGAAAAAAAATTTAAAAAAAGCTGACGCTTTGCAGGGTTTGAACTTAAGCCACCGCCGTGCTAGTCAGATACCCAGTCCACCGAGCTATCGGGTTACTCGAAAGTTCTCAGAAAGAAGAAATATAGTTTGTTCCTTTTGATGCCGAAATAGGGACGGGTTTATCCGCATTTCATTCACAAATTGCTCATAAAAAGCGCAACACATTCAAACTTTGGGAACAAATCTCGGTTTCAGCACTGGCGCGAAAACCTATTAGGTTCATTCGGGTTTCGATTTCAGAACTGTTCAAGAATCGTTCTCGAACTGCACAGAACTAGTGCACAGTCGTTTCGAATCCTAGGACTGTTTCAGAACAGATCACAAATTATGAAAACCCGAACGTGGCAGAAGACAACGTCTCAGAACATAACCTCTATTATTAATTTGCGGAAAAAAACCGTACTGTAAATCTCAGGAAGATACCATATGGTCAATATATTCCATCATAGCATTGGTAGCTAGATTTTCAACATGTTGTCCCTTGTACTGGTGACTGATCTCTGCTTGTACAAGGAATCTCGACACACAACTGAAAAGTTCAATGAATTGTGTATCTGAATACAGTGTGTCGCACTTACCATGCTCACCATGGGTATCTTTTTAACGGTGAGAGATACGAAGTTGGTTAAATTACACCAAATGTGGAGTTTGTCAAGGCCAACTATAATGTGAAAAAATATTTTTATAAAATCGATTCGTTTTTGTTTTATACACATAAAACAGATTTTGATCATTTTCATGTCTCCTTTGTAACTTCTTTATTTATGAAAATATTCGAATAGTAATTTCACATTCTCATGGCAGTTTTTCAAAGTGATTTCGAGAAAAATAGAAATTTATACCAACTCTTCTAGAATTTGAGATATCAGCACCAACTTCAGTTTTTTAAATGTAGGTCATAGCTCACTATGACTTAGTTACAAATAACTTTTTCTTCTCTCACAGATGATATGTCGCAGTAATAGTTTTGTGTTGATAACAACGGAGTTATCGTCATTTATACAAAAACAAAAAATTATTTGGAAGCCGCCATCTTGAATTTATAAATTTCAACAAAAAAATCATGATCTCCGACCTCAAAAACCCCTACTCACCAATTTTGAATAGAATCGGACCAAATCTTGTCCGCCATCTTGGAGCAGCCATTTTTTTCAATTTCAACAAAAATTCCATAATGTTTTGTCACCGAAATTATGAACACCTGCCAAATTTCTAGTTAATCGGAGAAAAAAAATGGCTGCTCCAAGATGGCGGACAAGATTTGGTCCGATTCCATTCAAAATTGGTAAGTGGGGGTTTTTGAGAGCGGAGATCATGATTTTTTTGTTACAATTTATAAATTCAAGATGGCGGCTTCCAAATAATTTTTTGTTTTTGTATAAATGACGATAACTCCGTTGTTATCAACACAAAACCATTACTGCGACGTATCATCTGTAAGAGAAAAATAAGTTATTTGTAACTAAGTCATAGTGAGCTATGACCTACATTTGAAAAACTAAAGTTGGTGCTGAAATCTCAAATTCTAGAAGAGTTGGTATGAATTCCATGTTTTTTTCGAAATCACTTTGAAAAACTGCCATGAGAATGTGAAATTCCCATTTGAATATTTCCATAAATAAAGAAGTTACGGAGGAGACATGAAAATGATCAAAATCTGTTTTTTGCGTATAAAACAAAAACGAATAGATTTTATCAAAATATTTTTTCACATTATAGTTGGCCTTGACAAACTCCACATTTGGTGTCATTTATCGACCTCGTATCTCTCACCGTTAAAAAGATACCCATGGTGAGCATGGTAAGTGGGACACACTGTATAATGGCAAAGTCTCCTCAACATATCTCTCATTTTTTGGTTTATATAACAAAGGTTCGCGAATTAGCAGATTAGGAACAATATTTTCAGCAACTTCAGCAAGGAACTCTTCACCACTGCTTCCTGACTATGAAGAACTACTAATATCAAAAAAAGAACAAACTCCATGATATTGAGAAGATATTGAGAAGAGCAATAAACAGCAGAATAAACAAAAATATCATATGACGTTACAACAGACAGATTCCAAAACTAAATGAAATGAGTATGTGCCAAAAATAATCCCAGAACGGTTCACTCTCGTGAACAGGTACTGGTTTCGGATAGTTCTAGGACCGTCCCAGGACGATTCTAAAAAAAACAGAACGCGGAAATAGTCGGCCTAGAACAGTTCCACAAAACCCGAACGCGACTGATTTTACTGCGCAAACTCCTGACAGTTCTAGAACAGTAATTGTTGAAATCCGAATGAAGCTATTGCGTACGCTTTTAGAAATACGAACCCGGTATAGCTAAATTGTGAAATCTGATGTTTCTGTCTTTTCTTTCCATATTATGTAGCTGCTATCACTGTGGTGCAAGTATTTTTTGCCAACTACCAATGGGTAGCAGGACTAACTCCCTGCTTCCTTTGCCTGGAATGTACCGAATTCTTGATCTCGCATCTGGATGCGGTGAAGGACACTTTCATGGGAGCCTTCAATCTGAAAGACGATGAACTAATACGTGAGAGACTGAGATTCGGTTTGTGTTACCATAATTATACTATAAGGTGAATAAGCGAGAATATAACTATTTTTCACACCACTAGCTATAGAACCTTCCATTATTTACTTTGTTTCAAGGCGTACGTAAATTAAACTTCAATCCATATCAACGAAAAAAACTAACTTAACTATATGTGATTTGGGTTGAATCTACATATGTTGAGCCTTCAAGTATTCAACTGTATATAATCAAAGGTTGAGATCAGGATTGTATAGCTGAAACATTTCCAATTAGTACATAGATGAATATTTCCTAGTTTGCTATGCATTTACTGGTGAATGGAGTGACGTTTACATAGCTTGTATCAGAAGTATGCCTATACATTCATGTTCAATTATTGAATTTTTCTATTTCAGCTTAGCACGCCAGTTGAACGTCTTGTTCAAAAGAACACTCGGAGTGAGTCTACTCATTTCTGCATTAGTTATTGGATGTATCGGAAATCAAATGGTGAAGGTAAACTCAATAACGAAATGTATATATGTCTCTAATTCAATGGTGTATTAAGCTAGCAACAAAAATCACACAGAGAATAAAAAAGTTGTTATTTCAATAGTTCAATCTAATAAAAATTGACTCAGAAAAACCAGCCCAGCGAGCACAAACATCCCTGGGATGTTTTGGGATGTTTTGAAAATGTTGACATGAAGATGTTATTTTGAGACGTAATATGCACTGACCAAAGAGGTCTTTGAAGGATATTGAAGTATTGTTTTTGTTCTTCCGTGGCATTTCTTTGTTTGCCTACTGAGAGGTATCCCTGGGATGTTTTTCGGATGTTTTAGAAATGTAGACATGAGGATGTTTTTTTGAGGCGTAATATGCACTTCCCAAAGAGGTCTTAGAAGGATATTGAAAGTATTGTTTTTGTTCTTTTGTGCCCTTTCTTTGTTTGCCCCACCACAACGTCTCATGCTCACGTCACAATACGATGAATCCTGATTTGTTTTCGATTTTGGTCTTCTTGTTCGCAATTGGCATTCGCGTTTGCAGCGTGTCACGCTTACATCACGCTGCTAACGAACAGAAAGGAATTTGGTGAAGTTTATTGTGTTAGAAGACTTATTTAGTTTGTAATAACGACCATCAGATGCAAGATGTGTTGTTCGGTGCCTCAGTGTAATCAATATAATAAAAGTACGAATTCATCAATACACAGCTTCTCCGCAGTTGCAAAATTATGCATTGTGGAGAACATTTCAAAAATTGGGAAACCTATTTCCAATTATATGTCTGTGTGTAGTAAGCACTACTCAGAAACCGATTAAGAAGGTAATTTCATATCAAGAAAATATTTTTATGTTCAATCTATTTTTAATGCATTTTTTCATTCAAGGGAAATGGAATCCTAATGCAAAAGTTGATTTTGACATAAGGCTTCAGAAAAGTACCTCGAAAATGGTTTTTTTACAGCGATTTAATGTGCACAAGACGCGTTGAAAATGTTCTGTTGTCTCCATGAAAAGGCTTTGAAAAGAACTAGGGAGAAGGTAGTTTTGTGACATATCAAGGACATCTCGAAAATTGCCGCCTGCGGCGGACATTGGCTGTTCTATAATAGTTCCATTCATGTGTGAACAGAACATCGCAGTGGAGGTTCAATGTCTCGAAATATCGTACTTTTAACATCTCTGAGATGTTTTTGTGCTCGCTGGGAGTGGTGTACAATGACATTCACCATAAATATCTATAAATTCACCCACTGTGACGCCACTGGAGATATCATTTCGAATCTAATTATTGTACTAGAGGAAGCTCCACACAGTACTATTAATAAAACCACAACGTTCAATTGAAATTGAAGGAAAGACAATTGAGAAATGAATAGAAACAAACTTTTTCATGGAAATATTAATACCCTGTATCTCGAAAACGAAGCAAGTTAGGGCACATGTTTATATGAACTTTATTTCCTAACATATCACAAGGAATCAACCGTTGAATTTTTCCAGTGTAATTCAGATTCCCTGTATTGATTGTCAAGTTGCATTCTTTCTACAAAAAATATTGAATTCTGATTGAATATAATCCTCTGGGTCTATTATTGCACTATTATGAGAGGAATCATACAGGCTAGTGATATATTGTTTGTCAAGTTGCATTTCTTTTGAGCATGCTTGTATACAGACCCCAAAATACAATCCTAGGTCTTCAATCATAGTACCAATAACACTTTCCTGATTCAACTTCATTTTCAGGATAAATCCATCGGGTCATTTCTGTTTTTTGTTGGATACGCTAATGCAGCGTTATTGATGTGCCACGCAGGGCAGAGACTTTATGACGAGGTAAAGTATATAAACTACGCAACACTAATTCCGTCGCACCCCAAAATTCTCTCTCTGTCGAAATATGAATAACTTTTTTCAAAAGTATCCCAAATGAAGAATAGTTATTTATTATACAAAGGAAAAAAAGTAGTAGATTTTAGCTCCAGATTGTGTTGTCTCCCGACGCGTAGCGGACAAAATACCGTGAGCTAAAATCTAATATTTTTCCCGTGTATAATACACTATTTTTTTCTGTGACAGAAGGAAGGACGAATCGATATTGAGAAGATATTACATTATTTTGAAATCTGAATATTATCGACGTGAAATTTTAAGTTTTTAACAGTAGGGACACCTGCATTGTAGGCATCTTTATCATTCTTTTAAATTTAAAGTTATCAAATATCTGATGTCACTTCTGTCTGTCTAATTCTGTGATTTATAATAATAATAATAATATGTTTATTCACCAAGATCTATAAAAAGATATATAGGTACAGATTTCGAAATGAATGTAAATAAACAGTGGCATCACTGAAGTAATAATTACGAGTAATTATGACTTGTGCGTGATATAGCCAATCATATATGAAATTTATCAAATATGAATATTGAGATTCTCCATAACATCTAAGAGTATCTAAAATATCTAAAAATATCTGAAAATATCTAACATTATCTAGAATTATCTGAAAATATCTAAAAATATCTAAAAATCTCCACCCACGTTTTCATTTGATTTGAAAAAATTGCGAATTTAGTGGTTATTTAGTAATATACGTAACCATGAAGTCGAATGGAAGATAAAAGGACCTGCAGGTCTTTCTCGGAGACGGTATTATTGACTCATTTTTCGGAACTATAGCACAACAAAAGCCATCAACAGTGTCTATATATGTAATTTATATCCGGGAAAAAAGTACTCACTTTTTTCCCACGGGAAAAAAGTAATTTACGAAAAGTGACACTTCATAACCTGCCAACAGATATGAAATACCAAACTTTTTTCCCGTCACAGAAAACAAACTTTTTTTTTCAACTTTGACAGTAGAGCATGTAGATGATCCTATTATCTTGGGACAGTTCTTTTATTTACAGAGTGATCTCAAAATATTATCTTTTAGGTTTTATGGTTCTAACTTTTTTCCTCGTCAACCGATTTTTGAAATCACAGACTCATTCTGAAGCTCGAACTTCAGATGAAGAGACATGAAAATTGACTCAAGATGAACATTATACAGTGTGTCTCACTTCTAATGGAAGCACCCCTATATATCTTTCGTAATTGTTGATTTGGGATTCTGAAATTTGCAAGAGCGGTTGATATACTGAAAATACACACTATGACCAAGTGGAGTCGTCTCCAGTGATATATACTGCTCGCCAACAGCCATAGAACCACCCACAAAAATGATATAAGAAGGCAAGATAGGTTCAGGTGGGAAAATCAATTCAAAATCAGGACGTTCCATTCGCTTCCTCCTGCAAATTTCAGAACCCTACTTCGATAATCACGTGAGATACGGGGGTGCTTTCATGAGAAGTAAGACAAAATTTAATTTTTTTGAACTGAAAATTTTACAGGAAAAATATGTATAGCTAGTGAATTGGACGTCCTGTTTTCGAATCCGAAGAGTTTTTCAACCTATCTTGGCTCCTAATAACATTTTCCGGAAATTCGGGTGGTTCCATGGCTGTTGGCGAGCAGTGTTTATAATGGAGATGAATCCACTTGGTCATAGTGTATATTTTCAGTATTTATCCCGCTCCTGCGAGTTTCAGGACCCTTACTCATCAATTACGAAACATACAGGGGTGCTTCCATTTGAAGTGAGACACACTGTATAATATTCATCTTGAGTCAATTCTGATTTTCATATCTCTTCATCTGAAGTTGCAGCTTCAATATGAGATGTTAAAAACGGGATGAGAAGCAAAAAAGTAATGACTGCAAAACCAGAAAGTTAATTTTTTTAGATCACTCTGTACATAAAAGAGATATGAAGACAATTTGGAAAATGTCCCTAGGTATTGAGATCATCTTCATGCCTCCGCTGTCGAAGTTATAAAAAAAAGTTTTTGTTCATTTGGGATTCTTTTGAAAATTCCAAAATTTTTCACAGTTTCAGGTGACACCCAGTAGCGATTTTACCTCATATTTTGAAGAAGTACAAGATTATAGCTGAAGGACTGGGCTAGCGAACAGTGTAATCCGAATTCAAATTTCTCAAAGCGGAAAAAAGTTATTCATATTTTAACAGGGACAAAATTTTGGGGTGCGACGAAATCAATGTGCGTAATTCAGAATTTACAGTGTGTCTCCCTTCGACCACTCCCACTCCTTTCTATCTCATTTATTAATCATCAACCAAATCTGAGATTGAACAGACAAACATCATTTTAGACATTTCTATCTCCGAAGACAACTGAAAAAAATTTGTGAACGTATAGAAAATTGTACTCACTGTGTACCTACCTTTTTTGACCCAGAGCGAGTAGGAACTTCAAATGCTTCAATGTCAGATTTTGATATTCAAATGGTATTAGAATACAACAATATTAAGTTTTCAGGAGAATCAGTATATTATAAATTTCTCAAGTTGAGATAATATTGATGTGATATTTTATCGATGTTATGAATCGAAAGTCCTTTGGAATGAATCGATATTTGTAATTGTCTTATGGAAT